TCTCTCTCTCTCTCTCTCTCTCTCTCTCTCTCTCTCTCTCTCTCTCTCTAATTTGTTTGTCAGTAGAATAATTACCTGGCTGGTACACAAAGTGATGTGTTTTTTTTTTCAAACTTAGATTTAGGCTAAAGAAGGAGATTTCACTACACGAATTGAATTCAATTATTTCGTGTAATTGCAGTTTTCCAATTCGAAAAAAGAATTTTTTGTTTTAATTTACTAGGATTTTCTTCCCCTCTTTCGACAATCTTATTCTTCATTTGTGCTAATAGATAAATTTGAAATAAAAAAATAAAAAGCCTGCTAATTTTATACAGTTCTTTGGTTTTATTTTTCCTTTTCATATTTTTCAATGAACATTTTTTCCATTGTGCGATTTTTGATTTCCATAATTTTTCTTTAGTTGTCAACAATTACAATCAATTTTTTTTTAGACCAAATGGCAAAATAATTTAGAAAATTCGAAAAACTACAAACATTGATCATTTTCAACAACATTTCTAACATAATGAAAAAAAAAAAAAAAACATTTCTAAGAAATAATATCCTTTGAGTTTCTACGGAATAATGAAAGAATCGAGTTAGATTTGAAAACAACGTTTTAAAAATTACTTTTCTTAACCGAATTTGTGTTAAACAGAAATTGTGTATGGAAGAGTGACAATGTTTCTGAAATGATAGAATTTTTCAAAAAAGCAAAGAAAAGTAAAAATAATCAAGATGCAATTGCATATTTGAAGAAAAAATTTCCATGAAAAAAGCTTCTTACTCTAATTGTATCGCGATCAACTTTCTTCTATGAATTGCTCTTAATTCATCACTTGAACGATTTAAATCGATTATTTTCGTATGCTTTGATTTTAAAGTCTCATTAGTTTAATCCACCACGTCAGTTTATTATTAACAAAAGTGAAAAAATAATAAAAATTCGTGGTTTTGGATCCGAATCCGTCATCGCAACGTTTATTTCCAAGAAGAAGTTGTCATCTGATTGCAAATGACTCATTAATCGATGCCGAAATCATGTGTCACATGACGAAAAACAACACCGTCATCTTCTCTCACACACACACACAGTGACTGAGATATCGTTTCATTCTTTTTTTTTTATAGTTATTGTTCATTTTGGAATTTGTCTCTTCATTTATTCATATAAGTACAATTAAAAAGTGATAAAAAATATAAATGTTTTTATTTATATATATGTGCTGGTTTTGAGTTGGAAATCGATGAACCAATGGCGATGTGTTGGTTGGTTCCCTTTGGTAATCAGAAAAGACGTTTCTCATACGAAAATAGTCCATGTACATTGCCCTCAAGCTGCGCTGAATGTGTACGCTTCATGAAACGTAATTCGCCGCTGTAAATCATATTTCTGGTGAGCGGGGAGAAAGGACAAGAGTGAAAATTAGTCGCGTTCGATAAGTTTATTATCATTTTTAAAGCCTCTCAATTCGCATTAAAGATGTGTATTATGAATATGTGAAGCAATTTACCTGAGAGCTGACACTGAACGTGCACCAATGTCTTGGCAACTGTGTTGCAAACCGCATTTTAAATATGGCAAAAATTGAAGTACTGAACCTTTGTCAACGATGCTACCGCTAACCCCTTGAGCCACGTGAAGTTTATCAATTTCTGTATGGAAGTATCGGCTCATGGCAGCACCTTTGGCATCTTTGCGTTCCATCGCCTCCAAACTACCCATGCCACGGTATTTCTTCAATCGAACACCGTCTGAGAAGAAGTATTCACCTGGGGCTTCGCTGGTGCCAGCCAACAAAGAGCCCATCATAACCGTTGAAGCGCCAAGTGCCAAAGCCTTAACAATTTGACCAATGGAACTGATACCACCGTCAGCGATGATTGGAACACCAAATTGGCGAGCATATGAACTAACTTGATAAACGGCAGTAGCTTGTGGGCATCCACAAGCCATTACTTCCTGTGTGATACAAATTGATCCGCTGCCCATGCCAACTGCGAAAGTTAGAAGAATAATATTTTAATCAATTAATCAACTCAAGAAAAGAAAAAAAAAATTGAAAAGAAAGGAAAATAAATTGCATCGACTACTAACCACGTAGAGCATCAGCACCAGCATCGATAAGGTTTTTGGCTTGTTTTCTGGTTACCACATTACCAGCAATGACTTGCAATGTTGGATATGTGCTCTTGATGAACTTAATCATGTCCAATTGATAGACTGAGTTACCCTGTGATGAGTCCAATACAACAACATCGACACCGGCATGTACCAAGTGCACCAAACGGGCACGATCTTCCAATCGGGTGCCGATGGCTGCACCGACTAACAATTGCTTATTACTATCCTTTGATGCATTTGGATAGCTACGGGCCTTTTTCAAATCGGTCCGAGCAATCAATGCCACCAATTCACCGGCATCATTGACGATTGGCAGTTTACCCTTTTTACTGGTTTCCAAAATTCGATTCGCTTCCTGTAATGTAACGCCATTTGGTGCGGTAATCATATCGTCTACTTTTGTCATGACCTCTGACAATAACAATTGGCCATCGTGTTCGCGAAAGTCGATATCGCGTGATGTTACAATGCCAACCAATCGACCACCTAATTTACCATTTTCTGTAATTGGAATGCCGGTAAAACCGTTCTTCTTTTTTGCCTCGAGCACATCAGCCACACGATTCGTTGGTCCCTACGTAGAAAAATTCATTGATAATTAACGATTCAGCGCATAAGATTAATGACAATTTCGCATGTGACACCATTTTGACCGACAAACAAACTGAGGAGAATGGAAATATTAGGGAGAAAATATAACGATGTCGGAAAAACAAAGACATAAAAACGAAAATGATTGATGACTTTGATGCTTACCATTACAACGGGATCGCGTATGAATCCATGCTTGTACTTTTTAACCTTCGATACTTCGGTCGCCTGATATTCCGGTGTACAATTGTGATGAATAATACCAATTCCGCCGCACAACTAAATGATCCATGTCCCGAAGATGTGAAGAAAAACAAATAAAAAGAAAGAACAAAAGAAACGCACATTTTACTATAACAGAAAAGCTTCCAGCTAATAAACAGTACTTTTTGTTGTCATCTTTCGTTGATTACTGTTTACACTGCCGTTCGATTTTCTTTCAATGTTAAAAGCAATAAATATTATTCAATCGGATGATATATAGGAGCCGCGTGTTTTTGTATGTGTCTGTGTTAATTTTCGTCTATACTTAACATGCAATCGACTCGTATTCAATGAACTAATCCAGCCATACTATTAACACACAAATGTATAATCATATCAAAATGTGAACGTCGATTTATGCGTTTAATCACGCGTATAACTTAAATCCTAGCCGTTTTTTGTTGTTGCTACTGCTGCCGTTTGTTTATTATTATTATTCCTTCTTTTATGGTTTTGTTTATTGCTTTCGCTTAGTTTCTACTGTTTATGTTTAGACTAGATATATATATATATATGCATGAAGTGCTACTTACTGCCATTGCAATGGCCATATCCGATTCGGTGACTGTGTCCATGGGCGATGACACCAACGGTGCTCGCACCGAAATTTGCTTGGTCAACGGCGACGTGAGATCCACATCATCGGCGGTGAAATCAATGTAACCAGGTAAAATAATGAAGTCACTGTGCAAAAAAAAAAAAAAAAATAACAAAACCATTCGGTCCAGTTAGTACGAAATTATGCAGAGACACAGACAGATCATTCACACACATTTAATAACAAACCGAAACAGAAAGACTACGTGACCGCACAATTTATTGAATTTAATTTGCATATGAGATTTTTTCGCGATTTTATTCGTTCTTTATCTCGTAAATTTTGGTTATCGGTCTACGACGCAATAAATTACACACAACGTAAAAATTCCAATAGGAATCTAATCAAGAATGGAAAAGAAGAAATGTGAAAAAAATGCCTTGTGTCGCCTGCACATTAAAAACAAAGAAACCGTATAACGGCAACGGCTCGCAATTCTCACGTGGCAAAGCTGTTTACACAAATAAAAAAAAAATCGTTTCATTTGAATATTCTATGCCGCGCGTTCGCTTCTGTTCTGTTGTCATAGAAAATAAATAGGCATAGAATTTCACTTGACGATAAATTGATATTTATAGGCTTCGATAGAATAATAAGGAAAAAAAAAATTGACACACCAACAACACACAATTCTCAGATTAATTGCAATTAAATTCACTTACTTGTATGTTAAACCATCACGATTGGCGAACAATTCAGCAGCTGAGAGACCATCTTGAATATTGGCCGCATCACCATTATTCTCAACAATGTGATTCTGTTGATCGTTTGCCATGCTTGACATTAGGGAAAAATAATTTTTTAATTCAATGGAACTGAATGGAAGAAGCTTTGCACTGCTCAACGAACCAAACTCAAATGAAGATAAAACTCGTAATTGGCATCACTAGTAGTATGCGCGACATAAAAAGCACATTGTTTGTGCGAAATTTTATGTGGTTCCGCTTATTCACAGTGGTGCTGCGCTGTGTGCGCTATTGCTTTGGTTATGTGATAGTTGGTTTCGTATAGTCGAAATCGTGCCTCCACACAATGTATGTCTATCTGCTATCTCTGTGGCTGTGTTGCTATTGCTCTGCTACATAGTCGATATGTCAATACCGCACACGAGACAATCGATGATGACACGGCATTGAACGAACACATTTCTTACTGGAAATTCATTCATTCGTTGCTGCCGTTCGTAATGAAACAGCGTCTTTATTTTACTTAATAATTCACTTAAATCTGCACTATTTTGCTTTTTTTTCTCAACAAATAAACAATTTTGAATGTTTTTTTTTTACTTCTTCGACGAAATTTAATCAAAAAACAATAATAATATAAAAACCTCATCGAAAAAAATTCCGAAACGAACGAAATTCAGATACATTTTCGGGCTTTTAGTCAAATCAAAGTGCGGACTTGCGGTCAACTTCATACCGATCGGCTGTTGTGGAAAACGAAAAGTCATTCGGCACGGTAAATGGAATTTGTTTGTCATTGCTTGATCGCTCATTCAGTCGCGAAAAAAAGAAGTATTTTTCCAATCAGTTTTTTATTAGTTTTATAAATTCGGTAGCGAACGGTGATCTATTTTCTAGCATAAAAATGGCTTTAGCTGATATTTGTGGTTTTGATAACTTTATGAAGCCAAATGGCACGACAGCAAGTGCATTGCACGATGACATGATGCTGAATCAATGTACGAACATGGACAACAACTATCAATTGGCCATGCCACCATTCGAAAACGTAAGAAAAAACCGGAACAATTTTCCAATCCACTTTAATTCAATCAGTTTGTTTCATTTGATTTCGATTCATCGAATTGTTTCTTTGCAATTACAGCCGATGGAAAATTTGAATAAGTTGCAAGAGATGGGTGCTGCTGATGGAGTTCAAATTCAATTTGATCACGGTACGACGACGCTCGGCTTCTGTTTCCAAGGTGGTGTCATTTTGGCGGTCGATTCACGTGCCACTGGTGGCCAATTCATTGGTTCACAAACGATGAAGAAGGTAGTCGAAATCAACAATTACTTGCTGGGCACATTAGCTGGTGGTGCCGCCGATTGTGTGTACTGGGATCGTGTATTGGCCAAAGAGTGCCGTTTGTACGAATTACGGAACAAAGAACGCATCTCAGTGGCAGCGGCCAGCAAAATTATCGCAAATATTTCACACGAATACAAAGGAATGGGCCTTAGCATGGGTATGATGTTGGCTGGCTACGACAAACGTGGACCACAGCTGTACTACGTCGATTCAGATGCAGCTCGTATCACCGGCAAACTATTCTCCGTTGGATCTGGTTCCGTTTATGCTTATGGTGTCTTGGACTCGGGCTATCGCTGGGATTTGACCGACGAAGAAGCTCAAGGTATGATTTTGGACGTGGATTTGATGTCTATTGATGTGATTTGTTGATGATTTTATGTCAGTTGAAGTTGATGACATAGATGTATCAATTTCGGTTGATTTCTCAAGTGAAGTGGTAACCAAATGACAGATTAAGCCTTGAATCAAGTGTCTTATCTCTTTCCTAGTACCCATTCACTCATTTGAAATCAAATACAATGAAAATTGGCGAAAAAAATCAAGAAATTCATACAAATATCACGAACAAATTGCGAATTTTTCTAACAATTTTTTTTTTCTTCATTTTCCAGAGCTTGGTCGGCGTTCAATCTACCATGCCACACATCGTGATGCCTACTCTGGTGGTATTATTCGTGTGTATCACATCAAACCAACTGGATGGGTGAATATCTCGAACGAGGACTGTATGGATTTGCATTACAAATACCAAGAAGAAAAAGCAGCGCGTTTGGCTTAAGCCATTGGATCAATGTGCATCATTTTCCTCATTTGAATAATATTTTTTTTTTTTCTTAAAATCAATAAAAAGTGAAATTACAATTTATCGTAAACGTATTTATTAGCTCAAGTTTTTGAGTGAGACTAAGCGTCTGCACCTTAGTTGAATGTTTCATTTTGAAACATCTTGGTTTTTTAGCATAATTTCATTTACATGGTAAATATTAGCAATTAATCAGATTTTTAGGTTCATAAGAGGGAATTTTTTTTTCGATCGATCCGATAGTTTTATCTCTGGCTCCGATTCGGTGACAATTTCAGACCATTTGGTTCAAACTTTATTGATTTTCGTCTTCGTCAACGTGTGCTTCTCTGCCATAAGAACCAATGTATTTGACGTGACAGTGAATAGCGGTGGCGCCTAAATAGAATCTGCGGCAAATTTAGGAACTATCAATACTTCTTGTTGTTGCAAAAATTCGTGACAACAACAAAAAGTATTGATAGTTCTTAAAAATGCTGCAAATTGTTAATACATCTTATTTAGGCGCCACCTCTATCTTGCGCCGGCCAAAAGCATAGGTTGGTCTTCGTAAACTTCATCGAGTTCTTGTTCGAGTTGAGCGGGCAGATCAGGTCCTTAGCTGGAAAATGGGAACAAATATATATTTTCTAGCAATTTTTTAGCTGTCTTTTCATCAATGAGTGGCCCAGGAATGGTGCTTGGTGCTATTGTATTTTGAATTTTTGATCTTGTATTTTCCCAATATAAGATTGGACATCTTTGAAAACAACACAAATAGCGAAAGTTTTCCGGAAATAAACTGGAGCTTCGAGCAGTCCAATACCATTTTGCGAAGCAAAATGCATGTACAGCTCTCGTGGAGCCTCTTTCTATACACTTCAATATCATCGAAACAAATTGAACAGCTGACCATTTAAATGTCCTTTAATCAATGATAGGAAACTTTCTTAGTTCTTAAAACATACCAAAGAGGGCGCCAACAGCTGTACATAGGAATGTCCATAAGAAAGCGCCCTCTTTGTCAAATATCTTGTTGTTGGTCAAGAAAAAGTATGTATAGTTTCCTGTTATTGCCTTTAATAAACTGCTTAAAATTTCGAAACTTTACAACAACTGAATGTTTGACGTTGGTTTGTTGACAATATACACATGTCAAATGCAGATTAGTTAAGGTTATGTCGTATTGAGTAGGGCGACTGATTTGGCAAAAGACGTTTGGCGCATTCGACAAATGAACAAAGCATTGGCTAACAGTAATCATCCTTACAGTAAATTTGGTACGGGTCATGAAAAGACGCTGAGTGAAGCGATCCAAAACGATTGGGCATCAATGTGCGCGAAGAACTGCTGAAATTCCACGAAAAATGGCATTCGGCCACTATCATGTGCCTGGCTGTGACTATGTCACGAAACTGTCCATTGTGCCGGTTAAAGACTCGCGAATGCTAACACTCACCTTCCCCAGCGCAAAGGCGTATCTGAGCCATTTGATCGGTCATGAGGAACCGGCAGCATTTTGTCGGAATTGGCCGCGTTTGGTCCAACAGCTTGTTAGCTGGCCATAATACGCTGGCACGTAGATTTGGCTTTTTCGATATCATGATGGATTTGAGAGTGCAATAAAACAAAATCCAAAGGGACAAGTCGATGTTTAAATTCAAATTTTATGTTTGTTCTCTGTTTTGGTTTTCATTATTCAATTCAAGTTTGCAATCAAAAATTAACACTAAAATTGAGCATTATTTTCCGTTTGAATTTCGTTCTGTTCTGCTCTTTCTCTTTCCTTCATTCGTTTGACCATTCTATTTTGAAAAGAATCACAATTAGTCAAACGATTCATAAACATAAAAGCAATTTAAAAGGTTTGTTTGAAGAGCTTCTTACTCTTGCATCATGGGTTCTGCTCGTTTGTGAATTGCAGCTGCTTCACATTGAATTTCATAAAATTCTTTGTATCTGGCTTGAGCTTCAGGGTCGGAATAATATTGCTCGGGGGGTGGATAATTTCCTTGGGATTTGTCAATTTGAGCCTGATATGCAGCCCATTCTTCTTCTGGAAGGCATTTTCGGTACAATCGCTGTTCCATTTCTGCATTACATTTCTTCGCAAATCGAAACGAATCCAAAATCTCTTCAGTTATTTCGAACATAACCTTTTTGTCGGGATTGCTAGCCATAATGACGTTTTTATTTGATTTCAATTCAATTGCAAAGTATTAAAATCTTCAACTTTATTCTCATTTAAACAGCAAAATAAAACAAGTTTCAATGTTTACTTCACAGCAAAACAAATAGAATGTTTATGTGTCAATACGTCGTAAATTTTCGTACATTTTCATTATGAACACATTGGCGCTAGTATCTGCGTTCATTGTCATGTGTATTGGTGAACTGTCAAACATTTGAAATAACAAGATTTTGCGCCTTTGTTGCCAACAAATTTTTTTTAGACAAATTGTCTCAAAATTGATAATTTGTATTTCTGAGCCCCTTGGCCAAATTGAATGTATTCGAAATACACGAATTCTTAAAATATTTTTCATTTCAATGCAAAACCAAAAGGAAAGCTTAATGTTTAAAAATGTATCTAAAAAATAAGTATTAAGAACAGAAAAAATGATTTGATTGTTGGCTTTATTAATTGAATCGATAGTTTACAAAATTGTTTCCATTTAATGATTAATAGTTCCGAGTAATAAAGCATCTGGTTGCACATATTTTGTTGAATTCTTTTCGATAGTTTGAAGAGAAGAATAACATTTTCTGCAAATTAGTTTGTAATGGAGCAACTGCATTCATCATCGCTTCCACATATTCCAACTGCATCATCTCCATGTAACTTTTGGCATCTTTGATTACAAATTTCCTTATTACACGTAGACCGAATCACACGATGTAGTTGGGCTCCCTTAAAAACTGAATTCACACCTTGACTAGATAATTAAAATACACATAATTTGCTTTTCTATACTTGAAATACTCCGTTCTACTTTCTTCGTAAAACTTACTCAACATTTTCATTGCAAATGGATGTGGCTCTGATATTACCCAAAGCGATGCAAAGGAAGAGAACAATCGCAAAACACAATTTGAAATTCATCTTGGTCTTCTGTTTTTTAACACTTCGTTTTGTTCAATTGAAATCACAGTTTCACTCTGAATTATGTTGGCTACCGATTTTATTTATATACCGACGAAATATCTCGAATTTTTTATTACTTAATGAACGGACATCCCTAAGATGATTTAATTTAGAGCATCTGAAGAATTTCCGTTGAAGCAAACCTATGATGCGACTTAGTTTTGACATTTATCAAAGGACCAAATTCCAAAATAATAGCCGGATGCCTTTAATATGCACTGATATAAAACGTACATTCTAAAATTGCATATCTTTCTTTGTCATTCATTCTTTACTCAACTTCGCATTAGCATACCCATACACGGAGTGGATTTCCGCATTAAATTATCATCTTATTTTATCAGTTAGCTCACTATAGTCAAAATTCAATGAGAAAATTTGTTGACAAATTGTAATTCTCGTATAAAAATCGTGGATTTTTTTTTATTCAAACTCTCGTTCAACAATAAAATGTTTCAGACTTCATTTGTGCTCTGGTTAGAGTTTGTTGAGAGTTTGGGTGAGCAGCGTTTTTGATTCAGAATCTGGTAAGTGAGTGAGTAACGACTCGACACCTTGTCGCAATAGATCTTTTGATTCCGGCTCGTTGCATTTGTTGATGTTGCTCACAAGAACTGGTTGCACACTGGTCACCAGATCGCTGAAGAATGGCATTGATTTCAAATCACACAGTAGCTTGATGACTTTGTCCACCAAATTTGCCCGATTGATATCTGATTCAACTGATGATAGCATATTTTTCTGTTAAAAATTAGAGAAATTTTCAATAAAATTTAATGAATTGAAAAACAAATTCTTTAAAATTAAACAATTTAGATGAAAGCCAATCGTCAATTTAAACCACAATTTTTACCTGAACAATCGATAAGAATGCGTTGCAGCAATACTTCAGACAGTTGACTTCATTTTCCTGGTTCGATCGCATGGCAATCGTTGAGATCAATTCAAATGCTTCCCAGAAATGCGGCAAAAGTGTCTTGTTCTTGGCCAACCAGCTGATCTCTTTGGCTGTGCACCGTACAAAGTATTCGCACAAAAATTTGACGCAATCTTGTTTATCCACCTGTTTCTTATTGTTTGGCCACAAGAATTCGTCCAATTTCCTTGGTTGTGTCCCTGTTGGCAATGCCAACTTCTGGAAGTAGTAGCGCGTGAGTGGGCCATACGATGCCAGCTTCGGAATGATCCATGATTTTTCATTTTGTGATGCGGTCGGCAGGAAAACCTTTAAAATGGCATCTATGAATGCGATGGTTTTTGTGACAATCGACACCAATTGATCGGTGAACTTGGTGAGATTCCATCGGCACAATTCAAGTAGCTGTGAGCTCATGACCAAAAGTGGCGGGCACATACCATCGAATTTGAATTTTTCAGCGATAATATTGAGCGTTGTGATTAGTAGCTCGAGTCGATCATAGTCGGAATTTTTCATGGCATCGACCAAATGACGCTTGTAAAGAATGTCAACGATAAATTCGGATGGCTTCAGAATTTCGATGAAAAACAAATTCGCCAACAGCTTTGGCAGCAAATCCCATGAATCGTCGGCATTCTTCTCACGTTCGATGAGGCTATCAAGTTGATTGGTGACGAAATTCTTGAAAATCGTTGACGTTTCGTTGAGTATTTCGAGCATGTGTTGCATTTGCATGTCGGTGGTGAGGGCTTCGTCGAAAAGCTTCGCATAGAATAACTGTGGATTCTGGAACAGAAGCTTCAAGTAAGCGTTTCGATTCTGTGTGAACGTGGTCTTATTAAACACTTCGATGAGAAATTGTTCGAAATTATCCAGTTGAAAGTTGCCGAACGCACATTTTTGCTCATCAATCGCATACTGGATCAGTTCGAATATTTGCTTGGTCGAGAATTGATCGAATGAATTCAGACAGATTTCAATGAGCTTCTCTTCGACACAGCCTTCATCATCGGCGCCTGCGACCGATGCAAATTCAATCAATCGTATGACAACTGGAATAGTCAGGGATTTTGTGTGTAGCTCAAGTGCTTCTAAGCATTCTGTGTTGCCCAACACCAATACACCCTGATCGATGAATCCATTTAACCATAGTTCAATGTGTTCGTTGTTTGTATCGGCCAAATTTTCCAATTTCTCAATCCATTCGCCGATGGTTTCGATGCGGGCAATCATCTCGGGAACGGTGAGTGGTTTTATCACAATCGCTTTCAATTGAGCGGACACATCGTGCGTGAAACATTCATTCAAATTGATCATTTGTTCAACAGTATAGGCTGCTTCGCCGACCAGCCGCTGTAGTGTGTATTCTTCGTCGATGTCAACCTCAACCCAGTACATGAATGCATTGCAATCCACCTGCATCACATTGTACTGCAGCGAGTTGAGTAGCGTTGTGTTCATCTGGTGTAATGTATCGCGAACGATGTCACTGTAACTCTCACGACGGTCATCAGTCAATGGCTCACGTTCGCCCATCAACGCAAAGATATTGTATTCAATCGGATCACATTTGAGTGATGGCCGCTTTTGAAATAATTCGAAACAATGCGCAATCATATTGAGATTATGCTTCAACACAAATCCCATGTACTTGCGATATTTGTTCTTCGACCATTTCTCAAACTTTTCCGCATCCGGCGAATAGAAGTGGCGCATCAAATCCATTGTCACATCGAAGTATTTGTTGAGAATGATTTTTTTGTCCACTGCCTCCATTTGACGGAAATCCGAGCGTGCGATATTTGTGTACACAGCACGTACCAATTGATCGACACGCTCTAACGTCTCGTAGGGATCGGCATATTTCAGACTTTCCACCACATTGTCGATGAACTGATACGCAAACCAGATCGGTGTGTATGCAATAATGTCGCAAAAGTGTCGCTCAAGATGTAGACCCCAAATGCACGCATGCAAAAGTGCCTTCGGCAGTGCAGGCAGTGTATTCAGCAAGTGGCACACACTGTGATCCGTAATCAGATCGTACTTGAAAGTGGCTTCGGTGTTCAACATAAGGTAGAATACAATTTTCCGCAATTGTTCATCGTATTCAGGCAACGGTCGGGAGGTGGCCGCATCAAAATAGCCTTTTCGATTGAAAAGTGCCAACACCTTTGCGACGATATCCGCTATGTACGGTTCATTGCCTATTGATTTTAGAGGAAGAAAAAAAATGATGAATTGACGAAAACAGTTTGAATAATATGCACAGCAACTGACTTCATTGGGAAAGTGACAGTTTCATTGATGAACCAAACACACTCACCTCCTCGGAATCGAATCTTTGTCAATGGTTTGATGTACTCATTTGCGTAGTTGAAAATCGACTGAATGTTCGCCAAATCGCTGCAGAAATCCATATTATTCGAAATCTTTAGTTGCACCAAGAGCTCGTTCATGCACACCATGCTTACAATTCAATCGCAATTGTTGCGAATTTTGTTGTTGCACTCCGCTAAACTGGATGATGTGATGTTTTGTTGCAAGGCGCAAATTTGTTATTTCAAATGTTTGACAGTTCACCAATACACATGACAATGAACGCAGACACTAGCGCCAATGTGTTTATAATGAAAATGTACGGAAATTTACGACGTAGTGACACATGAACATTCTCTTTGTATTGAAAAACATTAGTAAACATTGAAATTGGTTTGCTGTTTGATTGAGAATTAAATTGGAAATTTTAATACTTTTCAATCGAATTGAAATCAAATAAAAACGTCATTATGGATACCAACGCGGAGAAGGAGAAATTTGAATGTGAATCGACTGGAAACGCGGTTGCTGGTATGATATGAGAATTCCAATTGTCACGAGAGGAGAGTGAGAAAAGAGAACGTGCAACTATTGAGAAGTGGTTTCCTCATTGGTCATGGGATGAATATGCAGCTAAAATTGCCGAAACGGAAGCTCAATTTCCACGACCACCAGAAGTTGTACATTCAGATCCCCAACGTCAGGCTGAATTTGAAAGTATGTGGTATATATCACAGAAAATGGAGGCAGCTAAGAAACGATGGTCTGAATTGAATGCGGAGTAAGCATTGATTTGTTATTCTTATTATTTGTCTCTAGTCTAATCGTGACTTGCTTTGTTTTTTTTTCAAAAACTACAAAAAATTGACGGTGGACCATTTTCCCCCGACGGACATAGATTTGAAGCGTATTGCCGGGGAAAAAGAATGGAATGAAATTTAGAATCTTTGTACGATATCACGCTATCTACTCCAAATGGATCATTTATGGATTTCTATTACAAATATCAATTCACAAACCGCTGTCATTCATTTGAGATCCAATGAAAAAGTTGATTGCACGAATTGCTGATAAGTTTTTATTTAACTTCATTTTGAATGAGTGTGTTATCTGCTTCAATTTAAATCCTTATCTCCTTTTCCCGGAGTATATGATTCGCTGTACACGATGCACTGACATAGCAATCCATGCGAGCTGTTTTGCTCATCAGGCGCAACAGATTGGGCTACACCATCGCTATTCGTGTCCATTGTGCACTGTGCATACTGATTATGGTTGGAGATAATTGGGAGGAAGAAAAAATGATTGAAGGGATCCGATCGCTACATGTTTGGGCTAACACAACCACGACGGACGAAGAAAAAGGAGATTATGCACGCAATTCGACTCAATTCCTGAATCTTATTCCACTTCATAGTGGAAATTTATAGTAATCGACACATAAACGTTCCCTTTGTTACATTGCATTAAGAATTCAATTTGTTCTGATCTACTGTTCATGTGAAGAAGGAATAAATCCAACATAGAAATGTAGTGTGCAATTGAATCGAAATCAAATAAAAACGTCATTATGGCTACGAATCCTGCCAAAAAAAGTTACGTACGAACTAACCGAAGAGTTTTTGGACTTGTTTCGAGTTGCAAAGCATTGAAATGAGGAAGTTGAACAGCAATTTTACCGAAAATACCTTCCAGAAGAAGAATGGGCTGCATATCAGGCTCAAATTGACAAATCCTAAGGAAATTATCCACCTCCCGACCAACAACTTTCCGACCCTGTAGCTCAAGCGAGATACGAAGAACTGTGGGAAATGAAATGTGAAGCAGCTGCATCTTACAAACAAATGGAACCCATAGGACAAGAGTAAGAAGCTCTTAAAACGAACCTCTTCAATTGCTTTTATGTTTATGAATCGTTTGACTAATTGAACCCGTGAGCATAAAAACAACGTATTGACTCTTCGCCGATGAATACGAAACGCAAAAAAATCGCCGAACAAAGTGAAACACCAATCTTTTATTGGATCAATATGAAACATGAAATCGTTGGCCACTATTTTATTTACGTTGCGCTTTGTTTCGAAGCGCGGCAAGTGTTTCATTTTGTTCCAGTAACAGAACGTTGTATCACTTTGTTCGGCGACGCGCTCAATGTACTGTTTTGAAAAAATATGCATGATTTGATACAGTTTTGTGCGAGTGCAACATAAATTCTGTTCGCTTGAAAGTGAATCGTGAAATATCGGCTGACTATAGAAATTGTGTTTCACTTTAATTGAAACAAAAATGTTTGATACACTTTTGAGTCCATTGGTATGATGATTCATTTTAATGGTGGTTTTGGTCGTGATTTGTCTATGAAGTGAAAATTAACTGATAAGTAGCGCGAATTTTGATGTGCCGATAACACCAATAGAGCAGAAAAAAATACTATATGAAAATCGAAAAAAAAATTAAACTTTTTTTTCGACTGTTGCCTATTTCGGATCGTCTACATGGGAAGTTTGTATGAAATCCTCGGAACGCGGGTTCACGCCGCTGTGAATACATTGGTTTATATAGTGAAATCTATACATGGCCAAAACACGGACGCACAACACCCATTCTATTTCGCTCACACTTACGTGCAATTTTTACCCGTATAACAAAGTAGTCTGCTTTACTGTTAAAAAGATGTGCGCAGTAAAGAAACAAGAACGTACATGTTTCAGCAACGTTAAAGTGCACGTAAGTGTGAGCGAAATAGAATGGGTGTTGTGTTAAAATGAATCATCATACCAATGGACTCAAAACTGTATCAAATCATGCATATTTTTCCAAAACAGTACATTGAGCGCGTCGCCGAACAAAGTGATACAACGTTCTGTTACTGGAACAAAATGAAACACTTGCCGCGCTTCGAAACAAAGCGCAACGTAAATAAAATAGTGGCCAACGATTTCATGTTTCATATTGATCCAATAACAGATTGGTGTTTCACTTTGTTCGGCGATTTTTTTGCGTTTCGTATTCATCGGCGAAGAGTCAATACGTTGTTTTTATGCTCACGGGTTCAATTGTGATTCTTTTCAAAATAGAATGGTCAAATGAATGGAGGAAAGAGAAAGAGCAAAACAGTACAACGTGCAAAATGGGAATCGAAATCCTTGGCCGGTCGATCAAAATGACTGTGAAACTCGAGAGAAAGCTAGATAGTTCTCTAGAGAAAACGAAAAATTGCACGGAAGAACCATTGCAACTGTAACGACATTCATGAAGATGCATGAAAGGAAACTGAGCTTGGACCGTTTGCAAAATTCTATCCAGAGAAGAATTGATCAAAACAGAAGCGTGTGCAAAACGAAAAGCAGAATCAAAATCAATTCGTATGAATCTATTAGCATGATCTACCTCTTATGAACTAAGAAAACCTAATCAATTGAAATAAGAATTCATTTGGATGTTCAAAAAGCAGTTAGAACCACATAACGTATCATTCTTAGCTTCGTTCAATGGAAGTGCGGATGTTCTTGCCGATGCTTTTACCTATTCAAATTTATCAAAACATCTTGATTTCATACATCTTACAATAGACACGATTGATGCGGAGAAGAACGAGAGCAACAGCATTTCAGATTTAACTTACATGATTAACCGCTTAGAAAAATATGGTTTGTCATCCAAAAAAAAATTGTGATTGGAATCCAGAAATTCGGCGGAAAAGAAATGGACGTTTTAATGGCTATTCGTTATTATTCTTTTGTTTGAAAAAAAAAAAAAAACGGACACAGCCGCCTATGGCCCGAACCAATTGCAGTTAGTCTGATTGAAAACGATACCCTTCGCTTTAAATCGGCCCGTTCAATTGCGAACCAAGTTCGATTTGCCATGAAACGTAATTTAGTTGGTATCATGGTATTCGCTGTAAATTCCTATGATTATTTTAATCATTCGGAATTTGTGTCAGATACATTCGCCGATTTCAAGCCAGCGACTGGTGTCACATTGAATTTTCCAAAACAAAATAGTGGTAATTATCCACTCCTATCGACCATAGACACGGCTATGAATATCGCACTGGACGAACTAGCTCAAGAAGTAGAACTACAAAAGAAAGTTGTTTTAATTTAGAAATTCGTTTAGAAGAAAACAATAAACGCATAATTTTTCAAATAATTTATTGCCATCAATTTTTTCCAGCAAACAATCAATTGAACAGGCATTTACTTTTCGAAAACAAAAGACGAACCAACCAAAGTGGAGATTATTTCATTCACATGGTCCAAGTTTTTTTTTCCTAAATTAAAAAATAAAACAAAAATCAGATTGAATCGTGTATCAACTGGGAATTGTCTGAACTGTTTTTTCACTGTGTCATTATTTTTCTCGTCTGGTATTTCAGTTGCTTTTTGGTAAGTTAGAGTTTGGATTTAGCAAAACGGAGAAATACTTGATGTATTTTGTTGACGATTGAAGCAATCATATATCAATAGCGCCACCTAACATGATGCAACGTTCGAACGAATCAACACCTCTGTGTACAACGCACACATAGACTCTTTGCATTCACACGAACGTACACACAAAGACTTTACTTTCACACGTACGTATAGTTACAGAGATTTGTGGTTGGTGGCGCTCCAAACAAAGTTTCCACAGCAGTTCTAAACGTCAAACATTGCTATAGCATATGAGCTAGACAGTGTTGGGATTTAGCGCCCTTTGGTTGAATGTCGATGTACGGCTGCACCATGGGGTACAATTCCTTTGAGGATTTAAACACAGCCAAGTCGTTGATTACTATTGTGTTTGGTCGGCGATCGATGAGCTCATTGATGACTGGTGTGCTTTCGATTTCATTCGAATTACCAGCACCACCATCAGCCGTTGACACTATGTGGATAGACAGAGTGGATCGATTTGGGCCCATTGACAGAATGTTACTTTTGTAGTAGTCCAACAATTCGGTTTTGGTGACGTTCCGTAAAATTGCTACCTCTTTTTCGGCTCGGTCAAAATGATACTGTTGCAATGAAATCTCGTTTAAAAATTTATTGAACAGTGTCGATAGTCGCTTTGGTTTTTCCAGCTTCTGAGCTGCCAAAGCATCTTTGTGTCGATTGAACTCTTCGTCGGACATGTCTTCGATTTGTTTCTGCAATTTAAAATGAATCGATGTAATTTTAATCATTGGATTAATATATCACCAATTTTGTTCGATCAATTTTTTTTTCTCTATCAAACTTAAGCAAAAATGTCATTTACCGTCATTGAGTCTAAGAATAATTCGATGCGTTCTTCCACGTAAACCGGATGTTTGGCTGACTGAACGATAAAACGTATCCCTTGCGCTCCGTTCGCTTTACGAGATGCACAGAACACAATGTAGCCCAATTGTTCCTTCGTACGCAGTGTATTGTAACATGGTTCACATAGTATTTGTGACACCTGGGTAAATTTCAATTAAAATTTATTATTAATAACATGGCTAACGCTCGCTTATCATTTCCATCAAAATGCAAACTATTTACCAAATCGATAAAAACATTCGCTGAATCACTTTGCATGCCGCACTGTAGGTACAGTTCAGCACATGAGCTTTTGTGAAATTCATTCTCTGTCTCAAATCGATACGACTCTTGATTAACCAACTTGTATTCACGCTTCAACAGCAATTGACGTGAAAGCAACGGTAGTGTGTTGGCATTGGTCGTTTTCAGTTTTTGCTCGACGATACTAGCCAATGCGGTGGCTTTTTGCTTGTTTACATTGCCGTGAATCAAACATTCGACATGCATTCGTGACAGGAAATCCTTGATATACTGCTCTAAACGCTCCACCGTCACCACTGCATAGGGAGGAAAAAAAGCATTTTAGAAAATTGTTGACATCGATCGAAATGAAATCAAACAACGTCGATCGATCAGAATAAATGTTTGACTTACATGAAACGGCGTCAATCAATTCCTGCTTCGTCCACGCATGTTCGGTTAGTATCAGCGCCAAGTAATAAACAGCGTGTTGGTACGGTTGTTCAGCGTTGAAATTTTTCAGCGCACGATGCATTTGCTCTTTGATGATTTCGAAACGTTTTGGACAGAATTCGAAATTGAACAACTGGTCGATGACCTTGCTGAGGAGAATCTGCTGCTTGTGACTGTAACCACTGATTGATAACTGTGAATGGAAATTGAAATTGGATTATATCTAAATGTCGATGAATCGAATGTTGACAAATTTTAATGACGATTTTTTGCGATATGTGCAATGGAGAATTGCAATGTAGCTTCCAAAATCTGCTCGTTAGACTCAAGGTAGTTGCCAACTCACACTAATTCCATTTGATGTGTTGCTCACTCCGAATCGCAAACCGGCCAGTTCAGCCTCGTACAAATATTCGTTCAGTTCATCTTTGAACAGCTGAACAAACATGTGTGTCAAATTGCAATTGAGTGGATCCGAATAAGCCATCGGGCTGGAGAAGTCAAAATTCATGATTGTTTTCGGTTTTTTGAACTCGGTATCTTGTTTGTACCACACTCGCATGATCGGTGTGTCGTGTAGAATAACTGGATATGGCTTGACTTCTGATTCTCCGGTGCATAGCTCAAAATCGGTTGGTATGAACGGATTCGGCATTGGAAAACTCAAATTTTCATTTAGACCACAACTCTTCCAATCCTACAATGTGAGGCAAGATTTCATGAATAAATTTTATCTTCAGGTTCCCTTTAAAGAATCTCCTTTGAATTGAAACAAAGAAGATAATTGTGATGACACATTTCATCAATATGATCCTTACCTCGATGACATCTTCGGAAATTGGCTCCGATCGATATTTCGTTCCATACCAATATTCGATTTCATTACAAATTGGTTCGACTTTTTGGCCAACAACGACGATGCGACACTTTTCAGGCACTAAATCGTCCATCAAATTCTGAATGAGGTCTGGTCGCCAGTCACTGATCAAATACGGTGCAGTCAACACCTCTTCCATCGGATACAATTGCATTGAATGCACCACACTCGAGACCAACAGCAAAGCGGTCTCTTTGTCTTTGAACCGAAATTGCATTTCGCTTAAATTCAAATACTCCTCGAAAATCCATTTCTTCGGACCACCCGTTCGCAACATGTTGATATACTGTAAATAGAATTTGAATTAAACATTGAACAGTGTCGATCAAGACTTTGAATCAAATTCAGAATGAAAACAATTTGATTCGATGCTTTCTCTCAATGGAAAGTCTATCCGTTTCAAATCAATCGCATTTGATACATACTTGAAAAATGATTTTGATGATTTCGTCAATGTTCTCAAATCCTTCTTGTGTCAAATCCACCATGATATCGAAGAATCCAAAGCCACGTGCCAGCGTATTATGGCCAGCTAACAAGCTGTTGGACCAACCGCGGCTTTTTAATTCCGACAAAATGCTGCCTTTTCCCTCATGCCCAATTAAATGGCTCAGATACGCTTCAGGCTGCACATTGGAACAATTATTTTAATAAATCATGCGACAATTGAATCGATTGCTTAGAGTTACTTACGCCAGCCTTGTAAAATTGATCTAAATCTCCGGTGGGGAAGGTGAGTGTTAGCGTTCGCGAGTCTTTAACCGGCACAATGGACACTTTCGTGGCATAGTGTTCGGGTAGAAATGGATGATCTGTCCATCGCGGTGAGATGACATTTTTGTTGACAATCTCCGAGAATCGTGATATGACCATTGCCTCAAGCTCATCGAGTGTTTCACGCCCGTACACAGCCAGGCACATGATATTGGCCGAATACCATTTTTCGTGGAATTTTAACAGTTCTTCGCGCACATTAATGCCCAAACGTTTTGGATCTTCACTCAGCGTCTTTTCATTACCCGTACCAAACTTGCTGTAAGGATGATTGCTGTCAGCCAACGCTTTGTTCACTTGTCGAATACGCCAAACGTCTGTTGCCAAGTTCTTTTCATGTTCCGAATTCACGGCATTTATCTCCCGATCGGTGGCACTGTCCGTAAACAATGGACCAATGAAAAACTGCGCAAATCGATCCAATGCTCCCTCAAATTGATTGTGAACCACATCGAAATAGTATTTCTGCAAGGAAACAACATAAAATGATAACTTACGACAATTGTTCTAAAAACATTTTAAATCGATTATTTTCAACTAATGTTTTTTTTTCTTTCTTCAGTCATACCGTATTGTCCGCATACGTAGATGCATTTGAGCTGCCACCATTCTCCGATAGATACGTACTGTACGCATTTTCGTTGGGATATTTTTTCGTGCCAAGGAACAGCATGTGCTCGCAAAAGTGCGCCAAACCGGGCAAATCCTCTGGGTCACTCATGTGGCCGACGTCAACTGTCATTGCGGCAGCCGCTTTGTCAGTGGCCGGATCGCTGATCAACAACACTTTTAGGCCATTTGCCAACTGCAATCCACGATAATCACGATTATCTTGCTGTGATTTCACAATATTATTCACTCGCAATAGTTTCGATGCGTCGGCCATTGTAACTTTTATTGCTGGCAGTGAACTATTGGCCAAATCCATCGTCGTCGTCGTCGTAGTTTGATGTATGTTACGGGCAAAGAGTTTGGTACAATTTTGGAATTTTCTGAAACACATTCAAAAAAATCAATTCTGAATTAAAATGTCAAACTTATGAATGAAAAGTGTGAAACTAAAACGAATGGTCATTAGTCAAACGTAAATCAATTAAAAAACAGAGAAAACAAACATAAAATCACGAAAAAAAATCATTGAAATAGGAAAAAAACAAATAAAAATGCAAACATCACAACACAAATTATTCGCAAAAACAACGACGAAAACAAACGTTAGTTCATTTAGCCTGTTCGAAATGGTCTAGTGACGTGTTATGCTTATTTGCATTTTTCTTTTGTTTGAATTTTATCAAAAAAACAAATATTCTCATGGAAAAAAAGTGCTGAATAGCCAATAGTTTTTTGGGAAATGCACAAAAATGACCATGTGGCTATTTATCCAGAAAAAAAAAACACACACACACACACACACATTAGAAAATATTAAAATACATTTGCTTAACCGTACTCTTGCTAAAATTTCAAATGGCACATCAATAATCTAGATAACAAAGAGTTATTCCATTAGTTTTGTGATTTTAATTAATTTCCACAAAAATGTCTCTCTTGTTTTGGTTCTATATTTTGTTGTTGTTGTTATGTATGCTACGATGTTAATCAATGTGACATTTCTGCGGAGGAGAACTTCGACGAGTCAATTTAAACAAATTTCAAGAGAAAAAAAAAACCAATCTGAAATCACCTTACTAAAATACCACGGTTACATATTGTTATCGTTAGCCGACGATAGACTTGAAAAGACATTAAACCGCACCACTATTCAGTCAACTGAAGTGAACACAACTTTTTTTTGGTCTTCTGTTTCACAAAACTTGCAAACAGAGAGAGGTAATGCAATTAAACGGAGAATGATGATTGTAATTCACGACAGAGAAAAAAAATATCTGAATGTACGACGCGTTTACAGACTTTCGATAAAATATGTCACTGCCAGCTGACATACACTCCATTCAGATTGGGTTGATATGCGACAGTAGTTGGGCACGTGTATGTGCGTGTATGTGTGTTTTGTTCAGACAAAACAGCAATACCTATCCATTCGTGTTCGTTTTACAACAGCAAAAATCCTCAACATGACAACTACTGACAAACTCACCGCGCGCAGTCATCCCAACACAACAATATCGACAAATTCAACAAATGTCATCACGTAACATTTAATCAAAAAAAAAAAATAAAATACGGGGATCGAAAACAGACGGAAAATCGCATAGTTTTATTTTTTTCAATCCGAATGGAGTCCCAACAATAGCAGAATTTTGTTTTTTCTTCATCAGTGAACGAAAAAAAACAAAAGCAAATTCTGTAACACCACAATTTTTTCCTTTGTTACCAATTTTAGAGAAAAATATATAAAAGAAACGAAACAAATTTTAAACCCAATCATCAAATAGCCAAAAACATTTATTTGTTGTGTGTTTTGCCGTGTAAAAGTGAACGAAAGAACATTCAAGTGAAGTATGGCATTTGCTACATTGTGCTCGGCATCGAAATGCTCACGTTTGGCCAAATCTGTGTTGGGCAACTTTGTTGGTGCATCGGCCACCGTGCCATCCCACATCAGGTAGAATAAATCGCTTTTTTCTCTGCTGTGTAAAATTCATCCCATTTCATGCTCTCGTGTAGTGCGAACTTTTTTGCATGACAGTCGTTGATACCGACAATAGCGACGTATTATAACAAGCCCATCGGTTATATAATCGACGAAGATTGTTTAAATTTTCTTTGAAAAAATCAATTTGCAACGAATTTTTATCGGCCTGAAACAGTTGATTTTGGTTAGAAAATGAAAAAAAAATTGATTCAGAACCATCGATTTGTTCGGAGCAAAATATTTTGAAAATATTTCCTTCTTTTAAATAATACACACTTAACCTCAACTCATTCATACTGACAATATTGGATGGATGATTGGACGAACGAGAACAAAACAAATACAAACCCCGATCTTTTGGCAACAACACTTTGAAGACACAAAGAAAAAAAAAACCACGTTCCAAACGGAAAATTCGTTAATTCTGAATTTTAAAATGAACAAAAATCACATTTTAAACTTAAATCAAAATATTATTTTTTTTGTTTTTAATACAGCCAACAACGACGAAATGCTGGCAAGTGGTTTCCGGATAAAGAATTCTTGGAAACATATGCCGGAGTCGTACTGTATCCAACTGAAGAAACCAAATGGCTGAAACCAATCTATAATGGTAAGTGAGCAATGGAATTCAGTTACAAATTACACACAAATTATTTACATCAAAATATAAATGGCTATATCGATTGTAGACAAGTCTTCTGTCACAAGGCAACATTTGTTCGGCTTTAAAAACAATTTAAAACGAAAATGATTTGTGTATTTTTGCAGAGGCTGCCATTGAACGACCACCCGAGAAGGCTGTGCGAAATATGATTTTGAATTTTGGACCACAGCATCCAGCTGCGCACGGTGTGCTTCGTTTGATTTTGGAACTGGAGGGTGAGGTGAGTTTAACTAATATACTTGTTTACCTGATTGTTTTTCCTATTTTTCACACCGTTTTTTCCATTTGCTAATCGATTGCAATTTTTAATACACAGACTGTTATCAGAGCCGATCCCCACATTGGTCTCTTGCATCGTGGAACGGAAAAATTGATCGAATACAAAACCTATACTCAAGCTTTACCCTACTTTGACAGGTATGTTTTGCAACGAAATTTTAAACGTTGTTGAAAATAAAATAAAAAACTTGACATTGTGTTAATTTTTTTTTAATTTCACATTCGTTCCCCTTTTCTGTATAAATACAAAAAAATTTCGTTTGGATTTTTCCAAATTTGTCTTTCAAAAATGTGAGTTAAATGCATTCTTTCTACGTTTATTTCTCTTTGGACATAGATTGGATTACGTATCAATGATGTGCAATGAGCAATGTTATTCGCTGGCTATTGAAAAATTGTTGAATATCGATGTTCCACTTCGCGCCAAATATATTCGAAGTGAGTACATGTGCTGAGTTTTCATGACCATTATTCCAGATGATAAATTCCGAAAGTATATTTGATTGACCGAAAAACATTTTTTTTTTTTTTTTTTTTTTTTCAAAATGTCTAAGCTTTGTTTGCCGAATTGACTCGTATCTTGAATCACATTATGGCTGTTGGTACGCACGCTTTGGACGTGGGTGCGATGACACCGTTCTTCTGGTTGTTCGAGGAACGTGAAAAACTGATGGAATTCTATGAGCGTGTATCGGGAGCCCGTATGCACGCTGCTTACGTTCGTCCTGGTGGCGTTTCGCTCGATATGCCGCTCGGTTTGATGGATGACATTTACGATTTTGCATCACGTTTCGGCGAACGTTTGGATGAAACCGAAGATTTGCTCACCAACAATCGTATCTGGATCCATCGTACGGTGGATGTTGGTACAGTGAGCGCTGAAGATGCATTGAACTACGGATTCAGTGGTGTTATGTTGCGTGGGTCTGGTATCAAATGGGATTTGCGTAAAACTCAACCATATGATGCATACGATTTAGTCGATTTCGATGTTCCAATCGGTACTAAGGGCGATTGCTATGATAGGTAAGATTCATAAGATTTAACAAACAAACGTTGAATTAGTAACAAAACCAAAATGTCCACATTTGCGAATGATGCATTTTTTATTCTAACTTCCAGATACTTGTGCCGTGTGGAAGAAATGCGTCAATCGTTGAGAATCATCCACCAATGTTTGAATCAAATGCCAGCCGGTGAAATTAAGACAGATGATGCAAAGATCACGCCACCAACTCGTGCTGAGATGAAAGAATCGATGGAAGCATTGATCCATCATTTCAAATTGTTCACACAAGGTTTTCAAGTGCCACCAGGTGCTACATATACAGCCATTGAAGCACCAAAAGGTGAATTTGGTGTTTATCTTGTGTCAGATGGTTCAAGCAAACCATATCGTTGCAAAATTAAGGCGCCCGGTTTCGCTCATTTAGCCGCTCTCGAGAAAATTGGTCGTAAACATATGTTAGCTGATATTGTTGCCATCATTGGTACCCTAGATGTTGTGTTTGGTGAAATTGATCGATAGACTATGGCAGATTGAAATGAGAGCAGAAAAACACATTTAACATAAGATAAAACAAACAACCCAATGAATGTCAATAAAAAAAAAATGAAACACATTTTAAATCAACCATTTGTTTTTATTTCTATGTGTTCTTATTTGCACTTTGACATTTGATGTGATTCAACCGAGAAGAAAAAATCTACGTAATCCAAATACAACTAAGTACTAATCCTCCTAATGTGTGTTTGTGTGTGTGTGTGTGTGTGTGATTGTGTTTGTGTCATTGCATAAAACTTATTTGCGATATATATATAGTTATTATTTATTGGATCAATTTATTTTCCAATTTGAGCGCAATAGCAGCCGTTAGTGCAGCACCTTTTCCACTGCCGTCCTCAGCCAACATCAGACGGAACTGTAGAATTAAATCATATCATTAGGTCAGGACATTTTTTTATCGATTAATTTTTTAATTTACACAATGAACTATTTGTTTCGAACAAAAAACAGAGATAAAATTTCCACAAAAAAGATGAAAATCCAAATGAATTTCCAGAACAAGAAAAAGGTCCAGAAAAAATGGTGAATAAAAAAAGTCTTGAATTTGCTTACAATCTTTTTGGTTGAATTCAATTTTGTAAGGATTCGGTTGAGCCAGGCATCCATTCGAGGATGATTCTTATAGACGGATCCATCGATTGCAATAGTCACATCAGGGCAAGTCAGTCGGGCCATAATCACCGATGTGGTGATCGACACCAAGAGTGCAGCACGATGCGAAAGAACAGCAGCCACATGCTGACACACCATAATATCATAATCGGTCAAATCTTTGAAGCCAGCTTCAATGAGAACCTCCTTTGTGAGGTGTTTTGTACCATTTAAGGTATCTCTGTGAAGAAATCGACAAGAAATTAAAATTATAGAAAACCAAATCACGAAGGAAAAAGCGATTTTTTTTTATTTCGTCTCATTCAACTTACTCTTCAATTGTAGAAATTTCTCTTGTATCAAACGACCATGGTTTTGGAACAAAATTGGTTGGCGTATTTTGGAATGCCAACTTTTTTTGGTGAAGTTCATCGAGCACAAGGCGCACCAATTCTCCCAAATATTTTCCACCAATGTATTTCTCAAATCTGAAATCGAAATTAAAAAAAAAAAAAAACAAAACAAAAACAAAATGAAATCCAAATTCTAGAACCGTTACTACTACGCAATTGGTGTATTTTTTTTTATCCTTTATTGGAAAACTTAAAATTGCATATAGTTCAGCCTTACGTGTAGCCTCCTGGTAAAAGTGATGTTTCGTCCAATCGATCGTCGAATCTTGTGCGGATAAAATCCAACGATCCCTTATCACCGAAAGCACCCCATTCAATGTCAATACACACTTGCTTAGCACCACGACGACCTTTGCCTTCCCAATGCTTTACACGATCAGCTTGCTCCACATAGGCGGCATTACTTCCGGTTCCAAATACAATGCCAATTCGTGTACGTTTATCAAGATTTGTCCCTTGCATCTATAATGATCCGTACAAATTAAAATAATTGGATTGATCGAAATGGAAGACAAAACACATTTAATTATTACAAAAAAGAAAATCAATTAATTCTAACAAGAGATCTGTAGGTTTGATTTATGGAATATAGAGATTGTGGCTGAAGATAATACTCCATTATGAAATGATGCATCTTTTATACAATAGGAAGCAAAGGTATGCTATATTATACGAAAAACAGAAGAAGAAAATTTATTTCTTACGAGTACGCCCGTTGTATCATTCAGAATAGCAACCACTTCAATATGATTGTGACCGAGTTTGTGTAGCGAGTCTCGCAACCGATCGACGACATCGGTGCCAAGAACCGTTGGCAAATTGAATGATTTTGCCCAAGCGTCTAGTGTTGCGGAATCCAAACTGTGCTGTTTCATTGGGAACGAAAATGTAAATCCTAGACCAATTAAGATAAAGAAGAGATAGAAAAAGAGTGTAATGCAGAATATCAGTCAATTAAATGATTATTTGGTGAAATAAGTCAAGCAAGATGATAGAATTAAAAAAGAAAAACAAAATATGGTACGATTCAATCTCAAAATGAAAATGCAAAGTCCGCAATTGATTATGACTTACCGAGTGGTAATGGAACTGAAACCAAATCATTTTCTTCAACAAAATCACACAAGCACTGTCCAATATGGTCGAACAGAGCTACGGCCATATCTTCGCCACCAACTCGTAATTCACTTCTGATTTCATACATTTTCACCACTTCATTTGTGATTTTGCCATTATCTAAATCCATAAGGAGCACTCGGAAATTGGTTCCGCCCAAATCCAAAGCTAAGAATTTTCCGTGTTCTTTTGAGGTAGAAAAAGAGAAAGAGACGATTAAGACATGCATAGAGTGTCAATGCCGAAGGTTATTGAATAAAAAAAGAACCGAATTCGAAAATGAATAAACAACATTTTTTTTTTTTTTTTTTTGATAAAAACAAAAGCCTTTAGCCTTTTAGGCCAAGAAGGGATCAAATGTTAAAGAGATGCGCATACCGCTGCCATCAGGCAATTCTGGAATGTATGTGTTTTCCATTAAAACCGAAGATTCACTCCATTTTTCGTTGAGGGCGAGGTTCATTTCTTTCTCAAATTGGTTGGCAATACGCTTGACCGTTGGCTCATTGAAGAAAAGTCCACTGAGAACTTCGTTAATCTAGAGAGGGAGAAAAAGAACAAAAATAACAAATCAAATTTTGATGACCTTTTTGTGATATTGCATCATGTTTGTAGACACCGTCAACAAAATATGACGCGGCATCGTGGCCTATCGTCGACAGAGCGCACGCGATGCACAAAGATATTTTTGAGCGAGCAAATGAGCGCACGCCTGACACTCTATCAGTAATCAGCAGAACTAAGTTTTTTTTTTTCTTTTTTGAACGAAGAAGATAATTAAAATTGCGTGCATCACAAGCCAAGTAATAACCAGCAATCTAATAAAAATCAAACACACAAAAATTGCTCAGTTGATAAGGGGCCTGCGCAATTGAAAACGAAAAAAGAGAGAAAAATAGGTACGACCGCATCTCGTAAATATTACAACATCAGCGATTGAATTAATGATTAAGATCTAAGCGGCAACGATTTGTTGTTTACAGATTTACTATCGTCGTCTGATTCTATACATTTTTTTTTACTATTATTTTGCACATAATTTATGAACGCTCAAGGCAAAATCACAACAAAAAATATAATTAAACTTGTAAATTTGCAAGTTTGCTGGTTGACAGGTTTTTTTTTTCTTTTTCGTTCAGAGGAATGTTGGTATTTGCGCGCAAGAGAGTGTTTTTTTTTTCTATACTGCACGTGTATGCATATCATAAAAGAAGTGTTAGCTGCAAATACATCTTACGTATCATTGGATTGAAGGGAATGATATAGATACAGAGCCACTATATAAATTAGATATCACACTCATTAACATTTAATTACATCCAATTTTATGGAGATCTCTGCGGCAGCTCAGTGTAATCAATGTGTGCTTTATTTTGTCTCTATCTTAGATTGCAGTTGCCGTTATTTATTCCGGCAATTTTATTACTCTTTTGATCGAGTAGTAGTTTTATTTTGAACTAGAAAATTTGGAAGCGTCTGAAAAAAAAAAGTCAAATTCAAAGCGGCTTGCGTTTTAATCGAATTTTGTGACATTTTGTCTTCTTCTTCTTAAATAGAATAGGTGTGAAAAAGATAACCGTTTGTTACGCATCGTACATACAATTGACTTACTTTGCGGTTTTGTACATCATTTCTATCCAATGGAGCCACTTGATACTCTTTTTCGAAATCTTGAAAAATGTATGACATCTTTGCGTTTGCCGATATTACAAATGAAACAATAAACTTTAGGTTAAACTGGCGCGGTAAAACCGATGTTTTGTCACTTGTATAAACTAAGGCACGTTCAAATTCGTTTAAATTATAATTTACAGCAAAAATGTTAACCAGATCGTCACTTATAATGCGTTGTATAATGTTCACCACAAGTTCTCACAATTCATCACCTGAGTAAAGAGAGCAAAAGAGAACAGAAAAAAAAAAAATACTATTAAATTGTTTAACGATGTCAAAACCGTTGCTAGAACTCACAGAAAAGCGCGTTCGAATGTCTCTAAGTTCAGTTTGTGTTTGCAGCTAAGAGCTGTTGGTTTGGTCAGACCAATTGCACTTGTGTTATCAGTTCCAATGTTTAAATGCGAATGAAAATATATGTATATAAAAAAAAAAAAAATAAAAATAAAAAGATGATTGACAATAACAATGATCTTCTCTCGGGGCGGTGACTCTCATTCACTCGTTTCACGTTATGACTAAAAAATTTGTTGCTGCGGTATCTCTGTGATTTCGAGCTCCTTTCGTATGTAGCTTGTATGCATTCATGATTTTAATTTGGCTTCCCTAGTAATAAAAATATTACCCAATTAAAAGAGAGAGAGAGAGAGAGACGGAGATAGAGATAGAGAGGGAGAGAGAGAGAGATGATAAAAGCAACGAGAACCGTGCAGCTATTCTTAGTCTTAGTTGTACATTCAACTGGTATGTATTTGTGTGTTGCATCCACAATTTTATGAACAGCCGCCGTGTGCGAATTATTAAAATAAATGTTATGAGTATGATGTGTGATTGTTTATACCCTTGAAATATGGAATTGGACTGTGTGTGAGAGATAGAAATGCGCATCTCCAGGCAGGCCTTCGTTATGCGTTTTGGATGCGAACAAAATCAGCTGAGCCCAACAGCAATCATCTTCGGTGATTTGGTGATACAATTTATGATAGATAAACCCATAGACGTAACAATAATTGATCATTGGAATGCAAATGGCCTTTGTATTCCAGCTGTGTGTTTTACGGCATAAAACGGAAAATACAACGTCTTGTGAGATGCAATGTCAATTGAAATGCATTCTGAGGTCAAGCTCTCTTTTGATAGTGTATCGCATTTGGAATAGTTGAGCGCGCACATACACAAACATATATATATATATATATATATCTATATATATTCGTTATCTCACACTTACTTTACAATAACAAAAACGCTAACACTTGTCTAATGCGACGACAACGGCGGCGACAACGTCGATGACAGCCGCAATAGTAACAGAACAACGCAAAAAATTTACGGCAAAACAAAACAAAACAAACCACGTCAATTCGTTTGTTTAAGACTTAGAAATATAAACTACGTTGTTTGCGAGAGAGGCAAGCGATCTTGATCAAAGCGTTTCACTAACTAACTTTTTATTAATAAGAAAGTGGTAAGGAAACCGAATCAGATTGCGTAAACTGAAGGTCAATCTCTATCTCACTCTAGCGACCGCATCCGAATACTATCTATCTATGGGTACCGGCGTTAATGTTGTCAAGTCACATGGTCGCAGGTCGCCAATATTTCGCAATTATAGATTAGAAAAACTCGAAATTTTTTCGACGGTTGACGTGCGATAAAAATATAACTGACCACTCAAGCTACAGTGTTTCATTAAATTTCCGAAACATCGCACGCAGTTACCGGAATCGAAACACACCGAATTTGTTTTTTTATACATTCTTAAATAAACATATCGCATAAGCTCTATGCAAGAGGAGGTCAATAAATTTTTTCATTTTAAAAATATTTCTGTCGATCCTGTTCCAATTGTGTTGGAACCCTCGCAATGTGGCGGGTTCACGAGACCGATCTTACGATGCAATAAAATTAAAAATGCAAAAGTGCTTCCAAATGAAATTTCTGCCTGTGAATAACGATTTTAAATTCTGTCAAAGCGTGATCATAAAATCGTTTTTTTTTACTTTGATGTAATACAGCCAGTTCGCACTAATCGCATCATCGCGCCAACTCGTCGATATGAAAATGTTGATTAGAAACAAACAACAACGAAATTTAAAAAAAAAAATGTTTAATCGAACTACAACAATGATACGTAACAAGTCACTGTACGAAACATATAATTGCCATTCCAATTGAAATTTCTAATCTTATTTAGCACCAATTTTTGGTTGAACGACTTTAGGATTACGGCTGTTTTCCCCCCGTTTTTTTCCGTTACCGCCACAATGAACATAAAAGTCGTGAGAGTTAATTGAAACCCACTTGATAAACGAAGAATGATTTTTATTTTGTTTATCGTCGTCGTTGTCATGCAAACTATTCTGGTACAATTCCAGTGCAATGAATGCTATTCGAAGTCTATTTTTATATCGGCAGGTATTTTGATATTGCAAAATCGGCTGCTACTGCATATCAATCATAGTTTCATCCTGTTTTTCATTGCAATTTTACTTACTTACCGCCTCTCTTGAATGAACTCGTTGCTTACTTTGTATATTTTTGTGTATCGATATGTAAATATAGGGTGGATCGATTTTATTTTTCATACTGAAGTCGAAAATGGCGTTGAAAGACACAGAAATTGGTGATTTCCATACACAAAATGTGGTCTCAGAACAAAAAATTCTCCTCTTGACTTTCCCTATCGATCGTGCACCCGTCGCTTTCCACTTCCCAAAAAAAAGAATTCCAAATCGAAAGAAGAAAAGAATTAAATCGACTCACCCTATAGAATGCATAGTTGTTTGTTACACAGCATATCAGGTGCGATGGCAATCGATACCATCTCATATATATGCATATGTGCGGATCTCAGTTGTTCTCGCCTATTACTGCTTTCTCAACGCATCGCATTCAACCGGACGTTGTGTGTATCGGAAGGCCATCGGATCATCAAGACGAAGAAAAACACGTTTATAACGACACTGGCAACGCATATTGCATGTGAATTGTGCTGAAATATATCATATGATTTATCCGAAATGTTGTAGAATTGCAATCATGTTCGTGTGCGGCGCAATTTTATCTTATCTTTTGCGTCATCATTCAGCCGGATTGTCTGTCAACAACCTGATTTTATCATTTGATTTTCTATTGCATTCGACGAAAGAAAAGCAAGGTTTGTGTTTGGTGTTTTGTTATAATTTTTTTGTGGATTTATTTCATGATTTTTTTTTTTTTTGAAATTTTTTTTTTACATTTTTTTTCTGTCAGGTTTTTTCAACTAATTGCAACATAGATCAATCAATAGCAATAATATTAACAAATTTCCCGATTAATACGAATGTTTTTCAATTTATTTTTTTTAATTTTTGTATGTCAAATAATACTTTTATTTTGCCGGCCGTTTGGCTAGCTTGACGACACATCGAAAGAAAAACCTGCTGAATCGATGTCTGCCATCGAGCTCAAAATTATTTGGTTATTGAAACAAACCCCTTAAATTATATTTTGTTTTCCTTGGTTTTTTCGGTTAAAATCTAGTTTTATTTCATGCCACAGCATTATTTCAATCTACCTTATTAGCTCTTTATATCGAAATATATAAATGAAAAGAATGCGTTGGAAATTGAGACAAATGATGAGATTCGGCGTTTGAAACGAAACAAGAACAAAAAAACAGAAGAAAAGAAAAGAAAAAAAAAAGTACAATTCAAAACACGTCACTATGCATTGAGATCGTCTGCATGCCAATTATTATCAAACATATATCTTCTTAGGCCAATCATACACAATATCACACTGAAAACTGAACAATTTTGGTATTTTTTCTTGGATGTTAATTCATTGTTTGTCGCGATCGCGCTTACTTCTTAAAAAAAAAAATTCATTTAATTTAGTGATGGCATGACAGATGACACATAGGCTAACTTGAAACAGAAAAATCAGTTGATCTGGCCTCAATTTGTTGATTCACTGTTATGGTTTTGCTTTGTTTCTAAACACAACTTATATTCGTTTTAATGCAATTTTTTCTTTGTTGATAATTGAAATTTCAGTTGTTGTATTTCACGCTTCATTTTACTATTGAACTTGAAATCCGCTGACTCTATGTTTGGAAAATGAAAAGAAAACGGAAGACTCCGAAAATCAGTGAAGTGTTTTTTTTTTGTGATTTTGTTGTTTTTATTTTTTTATTTTTTCTTCAAACAGGGTTCTCAACTACCATTGTTTCTTATAAAAAGAATGAGCAAAAAGCACCTGATTTTATTCACTGGCATTCCATCATTTCGATTATTTTTTTTTCTTCTTCTCATTTTGTTTAAATCTTGTATTGCTAATTTAGTTCTTATTTTTTTCATTAATGCAGTTGTTGTGACCCATGTGAACCATTTGCGGAGAAATTCAGTGCACAGCGGAGTTGTGCGGAGTTCGGCGGATATGCCATACATACACTATATCTGAAGCAATGCGCTCATGGCTACTTTGATGTGTATTGAACAATAGAAATGTAAACACAGCAAAGAGTGCTATTTCGCTCACACGTATAGCGTATGTACGGTATCTCCGCCGAACTCCGCACAGCTCCGCTGTACACTGGATATCTCCGCAAATGGTTCATTTGGGAAGTGAATGAATAGTATCGTGCGCTCATTTGCTTTTGGGTGAGTTTTTATTTTTAGCTTGCGGCTATTGGAACCGCCGCGTGGTTTTGTTTTTGAAGGTCAATCACCTTTAAGTTAGAGAGACAAATTAGCGTTCAAATTTTTTTTTCTTAACTGTTTTCTTGTGTTTGTTTTGTTTTTCATTTTGTCATAATAATTCTTATTCAACAATTTTTATACACTAATAATTTATGTTTGCACACACTTTCGAAATGGAAAGCAATGCTAAGATCTTCTTTAGTCGAGCATTGAACAAAACTGTTCATTTAAATAGTTTTTTTTTTAATATCTCGATTGGTGCATAGAATATAGGACAACTGTTTTATTCTCGTTTTGGATAATTGACTGCACTATTGGTTGAATCGGCTGGAGGATCTGAAGGATCGATTAGTACCTGGAACGATGCAATAAAAAGGCATTCATAATTAAGATTGTGACGCATGAGGAAATCGTGTGATTTCAAGAAATGTTATAACTTTGTTCACGTCAAATGTACCTGATGATAATTCAATAGCGGTAATAATTAGGTTTGAATTGGCCAGCCTTGTTTAAGCCCATATATTTGGCTTGTTCGTCGCTCAGTTCAGTTAGATGCGCATCAAATGTGGGCAAATGTAGACTGGCCACATATTCGTCCATCTTTTTTGGCAGCAAATATACGTCGGATTTATAGCGACCGACCGGTGCATTGAATAATTCGATTAAAGCTAGTGCTTGTGTGGCTGATGTAACCGAAACAACAAACGACGGTATACTCGAGCACGATAAATTTACGAGACGACCTTCGGCCAACAAAATAATTCGCTTACTATCCGGCCAAATGATGTGATCAACTTGTGATCGGACCTTTTCCCATGTCAAATCCGGTGTGCGCAAGCTATTCACATCGATTTCCGTATTCGAATGACCCATGTTACATACAATGCAACCATTTTTCATTTTATCCATGTGTTCGCGTGTCACCACATTCTTATTGCCGGTTGCCGTTACAACAATATCCACATTACGTACCACTTCGTTCAGTTTCACTACACGAAAACCATCCATACACGCTTGCAGCGCACAAATCGGATCGATTTCCGTTATATAGACTATACAACCAAGTCCTTTTAATGCTTGCGCACACCCTTTGCCCACCTCACCATAGCCACAAATTACGATTTGCTTGCCACCAAACATTACATCCGTCGAACGTTTTAAACTGTTTAAACGAGAACGAAAAATAAACGCAAAGAAATTTATGAAAAATATAAAACTATTCATAAATCTAATGTGATCGTGAATTCGACAAAATGTCATATTTTCAACTGTAGACAATATCAAGTCGAAAAATCTCTTTGGTCGAATTTTCTTTCAGAAGATTTTCATCTTGCTCTTGACTGTCCAAATTCGGCATACCTATCGATGATGCTCTCTTTGCAGCTGTACAAATTGTCGAATTTCGTTTTGGTAACGGAATCGTTGACATTCATAGCTGGTACGGTCAGTTTGCCTGCTTTTGACAGCTGATACAAACGATGGACGCCTGTTACGCTCTCTTCGACAATTCCTTTTACCAATTTGAAAATGGCCGGATATTTTTTTAACATCAAATGAGTTGCGTCGCCTCCATCATCCAAGATCATGTTGGGCTGCCAGTTTTCTGCATTGACACATTTATCAATGCACCACCAGAAGTCCTCTTCAGTTTCGCCGCGCCAAGCGAATATTGGAAAGCCAGCTTCGGCTAAAGCAGCGGCAACTTCATTCTGAAATTGAACAATTTTTTATATTCAAAATTGAAAAAAGTTCCAATTAGAAACAAGACCGCGTTCTTGAATTTCTAGTTACTTAATCTATTTTGTTGTTTCACAACAAACTATTTTTTGGCCCACTACATGAAATGTATTTCATCAAAGTAACTTTGAAGTAATGTATTTATTTGAAAAATGAATTACAAGATCTTGGTTTTATTTCTTTTTTGAAAGCTTCAATTTCTGGTTTGAATTGAATAAATAATATGAGCATAGAATCTAAAATCACTTTAATTCTGTTCAAGACTCAGAAAATATTATACGAAAAATTAATGTAATTTTTAAACAACATTTGATGATAAAAATTTGATTGGCGCTTTGAGATATTATGCACCTATTTGTCGTTACTGTCACTGTTTTAAATTAAATAAAAAATACGAGCATAAAATTCAAATTCACCATAATTTGTTTCAACACTCAAAAAGTATTAAGAAAAAAGAAAAGCAGATTAGTAGCTCTACATTTCATGTAGTGCAAAAAAAATGAAGAGTGAAAAGAGTCATTTGTTAAACCAACGTTTAATTTGAATATTTCATAAGTGTTTCTGAATTTTCGAAGTCGGCATATACTATTTTGCGTCAAGGCTCTTCAAACTGAAGGATATGTTCGAACCTTTCACTTAGAGCAAATCGAATGTCGCGATTTAACCCACATAACAGGGAATGTGTGTCAAGTCTGTGTTTACCTGTGTTGAATAAATATTGCATGCGGTCCATCTCACCGATGCGCCCAGTTCAACAAGTGTCTCAATAAGAACGGCCGTCTGTGCATTTATATGCGTACAACCAACGATTTTTGCATTTTTCAGTGGTTTATCCTCGCTAGCGCGCTTTCGCAATGCAACAATGCCAGGCATTTCTAGATTAAACAAAGAAAAAGAAAAATTCACTCCATTTAAATACGGTCTACAATCAATTTGCAATGCTGCAATTTAAAAATTTCCATGGTGAATGTCACAGAATGTGTACCTTGTTCGGCAATCTCAATTTCACGTCGTCCGAAAGCGTGCTGGTTAATACTTCGCACACAGAAATCATTGTAGCCCTTGGAATTTTGCTGGGTTTTTTCGCGTGGCGAAACATCATCATCCTCCGAACTGCTGCCAGTGTATGAAGCTAAAATATTTCACAATATTATTAGAAATGCATGGCATTTTGAAAGAGTGTGCCAAAAAAAAACAAGGAATTAAATACTTTACCCGAACTATATGAGTCGGTTGATGATGCTGATAAACTTCGACTGCGGTAACGGCTCGTCTTTTTCAATGCTCCCGATTTCGTTTCCTATTTATCGAAAGAAAAAAAGAAACAATGCCACCACATCAATTAATATCGTTGTACCCGCAACGGTAATTGCATTCGCTCCACAAATATTTGACACAAACATTGAGATCATTTGAAATGTATGCAGTATATAATTGGAAACGTAAAACGAAAGAAAAACCAATGTATATGTTAGGCGAATAAAGTACAGAAAATTATACTAACATAAATGACTGACAAACGGCGGATGTGATTGTAGTACATTCTTTGCATGATAAGATGTTAATGTGGTTTTGAATATATATGTACATGAACTTATTTACAAGAGAAGAGAGAGAGAGATAGAGAGTGAAAAACACCCGAATAATTCACAAATGAGAGTGTGAGAAAGCTGAGAAAATAGTGTGTGTATGTGAGTGTATGTTGGTTGGTATGTTGGTTGTGAAAGAATTTTGTGGTTCTTTTTTTGGTAGACGGTAACTGCCAGAAAATTAAATGACGCTATGCAACGCGAACGAAACCGATTGCCGTGCGATTAATGGGAACTTTTATGGTTTGTTTGCGAAAAAGGTGGTTGTCGCGCAACGGTATGAATTGTGGAGAGAAAAACAACAACAAACACAAGAGGAATGAAAATTTCGCATCAGTCACTTCAGGTTCGGTTGGTTCGGTGTTGCAAAAGCGTTATACTGCAAGCAGTCCAAAAAAAAAAAAACGAAGAGCAAAACAGATATGCTGGCCGATAGATAGAAAACAACTGAAAAAATATCGGACTGAATCAAAATAAAACTCAATTAAATGCACAACGCGCGCACACACACACACACACACACACACATACACACACACACACACACACACACACACACACACACATACACACACACACAACAGTGAAGAAAAAACACAAGATTGTGAAGCGAAACAATAACATTAATTGTCACACTCTTGGCTGCCCGACTGACTGGCTTAACACACAAAAAAGCGCGCTTTCGATCGAAATCATATGACTGTCGATGGCAGAGAGTCGCAATCAAGAATTACGAAATGATGAATGGCCTATAAAGTGGTTGGTCACATTGTCCGCGGGCCGTCACGTGATCACACACACTTTATCGTGCTTCTTTAATGCCTCATTAGTTCTCAACACAATTCAACGCTTAATTAACGAGATAAAATAGTTCCGAGCAACGGCAGAGCTTTCTTTATCGAACACGCAATGAATGTCACTCCTCTTTTTATCCGCTTTTGTACACATCCATTCTTTGTACAAAGTATTTCATTCCGGATATTCGTTCGGCTTGGCTTTTTCTATTTTCCCTTTTTCATCTCTTTTTTAACTTCTTTTTCCTTTGTTTTATTCTAACAAGACAAGTCATCTTTGGCTCAAATGTGTCAGCCATATTCCTTTTGTGCATAAAATGGGCTGAAATAAATTCGCTCACAAGAAAAAGAAAGAAAAGCCGGCAAATCTATCGAATATGCAACGGTACCAAGCATGAAGGTGTCATCAGTTACTGTTCTTTCGTTTAGTTTTGCTTCAATATTGGTTTTTGGAAATTAGCAGTAAAGAATAAGGTGCAATATATCTATATAAATGTAAAATCAATTGAATTATGTAACAATGCTCATGCGGTCAAGTTAAAAATTGAAAATTGGCGAATGTTGTGGTTTCGGTGGTTTTCATAGTTTTGCACACACACACACACATTCACCAGATGAAAACAAATGCTATATATTTGCCACATTTCTGGCTACACTACTTGCTCACAACTAGTATTCATTTGCAGAAGTGTGTGTATGTTGCTGGAAAAATTCAAAATATCGGCTATGCGTGCAGATAAAAAAAAACCAACGTGAACTTTCGTTTATCATCAAAATTTAGGCAAAATTATTATCAACTTAAATAGCTAAGAAACAAATTGCAGTAACATTTATATTTGGCAATTGATACTTTTTTTTCGGATTAATGGAAGAAAGAGACAGAGAAAGATAGTGGAAAAATCAAGGTAGAAAAAAACATATTAAAACACCAAAAGTGATGCTTTGTTCTCTTTGATTTGTACAAGAACGATTTTTTTTTTTTTGGTTTTCATATCATAATAAGATTTTTTTTTTGTGTTTGTGTGTGAAAAATGCTTGGAAACGAGCTTACCAATTTCGAACGTTGACCGGCAAATGAACAAGCTGAATCCAATATCGCCTAAAGTTTAATGATTTGTTTGTCATAATGAATGCGATGGTTCATTGTCAAACACACATATATAGATAGAGATACATAGATGATAGAGGGTTTTAAAGAGATGTTTTTTTTTTGTTGTTGTTGTTGGCTATGGTTTTGGTTTCTATTCGATTGTTTGATTGGTTATTATTTGGTTTTCTCTAAGCAATTGGTAATCACTTTGGTTTTATTGTTTGTACAAATGTTAATTGAAATTGTTTCTTGTTGAGTTTTGCGACTCATTTATGGAATTGGTTTGTTGTTGGGCTAAACATTGGTGTCTTATTGTTGTTTGAATGCAAAAACAAAAATGTGAAATGTTTGTTTGGTTTGTGGATGAATGGGTGTATCTGTATATGTATATGTGGTGGGTTTTAGTCTAACGATTTTTCCATTTGCTTATTAAATGCTGTCGTTTTCATTTTCGCACATAAGACAAAACGAATCGAATATACACACGTTTATTTATATATCAAAATCAGACAACAAAAAATAATAATGGCATTTAAAAAAAAAAAAAGTCTGTACACAATAAATTCGGTTTGAGTTCGATTGAATTGAGTTGGCGTCACTGAATGGATATGCTATAAATAAATTTTGTTTGAAGAGAAAAGAGTGGAAAAGAAAGTAATGACAGAGACAGCAGGCTTATGTGTGGAAATTTTCGATGAAATTTCATCCGGAGAAATCTGATTTGTATTTTTTTTTATGGAAAAGTAAAGGAACGATAGAGAAGAAAAAGAACTGGTACAATTTTATGTAGATTCATTTATTTTTTTGGTAGGTTTTCCATATCAAATTCTAGCTATGACATTCGAAATTGGTGTATGTTAAAGTTTTTGACTCAAAACCATTTAGCGTGTGGTTTTTCCGTTGAATTTCGATTCATTCAAAAGTGTTGTTGTTCGAACAGGTGAAATGGTCACGAGTATTTTATGGATTTATTTTTAAAAAGGATCCAAAATATAAAGAAAACTATGGCGAACCTGAAGCAAAACGATTTAGCAATGAAAATGAACGATGGCTACCACAGAAATCGTGAAAATGTATACGTTACATGAACCTTGAGATAAATGTCTTGGGTTTTGGTTTTTCTCTTTTTATGTCATTTCCATCGGTCTTTGGATGAAAATGTTTTCGTGTTTGAAAAACATTGAACAAAAGAAGAAGTGAATGAAACAAAAAAAAGGTAAAAACTTGAAACCGAAAAAGAGATAAACATGTTTTCTGTTTTCTGTTTTCTCGTCGGTGTTTGTAAATGTGGTGTGGTATGTTGGGCGGTGTGATAAAATTACCTGTTTGGTGGTGTTGCCGCCGGGATCGGTAACTGGTGCATCGGAGATAATTGATTGATTGGCTTTTGTTCCAACGCTAAAGCTGTTGCTTCCAGGTAACGCTGTTTGAACCGTAATGCCACTGCTGGCGCTGCCGCCACTATTGCTGGTGGTCGGTGTTTGGGCTGTTTGCTGGCTATTTATGCCATTTCCGTTGGCAGTATTACTACTATTCAATGATCCAGACGATTGTACTAATGGCAAGTTAATCGTAACCGAGCGTTCATCACTCATATTGGTTTTGTGTGTCCTTTGTGCCGGGAGTGTCCGCCAAATGCAATGCTATCCAATCTGCTTGTGGGTGGCTAATGGCCCTCTTATTTCTCACTACACTTTGTTCCGGTGTATTTCTCTTTGTCTTCCTCTTCTTCTGCTGGTTCAAATGCCACCGTATTTAAGCGGTTTGATTGAATTTCCAATAAAACGAAGCCAACAATTTGAGTTCCGTAAAACAGTCCATCAAAAATATCGATTATCTGAAAATGAAACATGAGCACAGAATGTTAATTTCTGACCTAATCACCATTGAATGTCACATGGGCCCTGTATTTTAGTTTGAAGTTGAACTTGTTCAAGAAAATCCGCAATATAAATTTGAAAAGAAAAAAAAACACACACACACACACACACAAAACCGCTATGGCTGTGTGAGTATGTGGGCTCGTTTGAAGTGTCAAAAGCAATCGAATCAATGTTCTGCCAATGAACGTTGCGCTTGTACTACATACATACATACATACACACACTTGCGAGTGCTAAACCGCAGATCATAGTCACATGCCATAATATAGTGTCTATGTTGAGGCCGCACATTCATTTATTCATTTTTGAAACATGCACGCGCTCGCGGATTTGTTTAATTATTGCGATGTACAAAGTATATGCATTAAAATCCATTGATATGTGCGACGGCTGGATGTGTATATCCATTAAAAATGGAACGTGTTGGAATGGGTTAAATCGAGCTCGAGCTATTGCAGATAAATCTGGTTATGTTCTTAATTATTCACACTGAATAATTTAATGAAAAACAAAATCATGTGAGTGTGTATGTTAAACGAGGACGACATACCACACACTTACACACACCGAATGATCTATGAGTCGCTAATCTCTGCTAATGTATTTATCATGATCGTGCGTTAAAACGTTCCGACGCCGTTACAAATTCTTCTCGCTCTTGTTTTTTTTTCTCTTTCTTCTGCTCGGTTTATACTGGTTTCCAAACGCCCAGGGAATCGAAACGTTCCAACTTCATTGGCCCATTGAGTGCTATCAACTAATTAAACTGCACGTTAAAGTCTCATAAAAACAAAAATTACCGTGTTCCATGTGTCGGACTCATTGAGTGTCTGTTGTTCATTTGCTAATTTCCTCTGTTCGCTTTTAATTCGTTTGTTTTCCTTCTATCTCTCGATTCATTTTTGGCAACACAATTACAATCACTTGACATGAAAAATCTAATGAGGATACCATTTATCGATTACAATAACAAAACGTAAACAGGATATTCTCATATGTGCAGCGCTACGTCATACAATCTCTTGCTATTTTGATCGACGCCAGAGTGTATATATAATAAAAACTTGCCGTTTTGTGGCGCAACCTACTTGAAAACGAATATTGTTTTGCACGCAAAGAGATGGAATGAGGCAGAGAATCATCCGTCCAAGTGAAATGAAATTGAAGGAAAAGCACGGAGAGCGAGCGAGCGGGCGAGCGAGCGAAAGAGAGAGAGAGAGAGAAAGGTAAAATGATCCAACCAATACCGGTAAGATTGACTTTTCTATGTCATCACACAGCCTCTTCGTGTAAACACACAGATTCGATGGCTTTCAATCGTTCTGTAATAGCGTTGTTTTTTCTTTTCGTTTTCCCAGAATTGTCACTTGTCACACGAGATTTGAATGCAGCAGCAGTAACAACAAGAACAACAACGAAAATAGTGAAAATTGAAGTTGCAAAGTTATTATAAACAAAATATACATACATTCTACAAGGGTAATGTATGCATACCCGTTCACACAAGTCATGGAGATGCTCTCAGCTCCAATGTCTATGTTTGTACTTTTCGTTTGACCGAACGCTCATAGCGAGCACGAGAGAGAGCAATAAACAACAATTCGAATGTTTCATTAACGAAAGCAGCAATCAAGGTTCTATGCTCTTTTGTAATAATATACTCATGTCATGTGATCCATATATCCGATGTGTGTTGTTAAACGTTGCTAAATTCTCTGCTCTCGATTCACATAATGAATGAAATTTCATTTATCGCATACGTTTTTTTTTTTTTGTAATCTATGGTTCTTTATTTAGAATCGACTTGAAATTGCATTAATTGTTTCGGTCAAATGGAGATTCAATGCGATTGAATCAAGATAAAAATTCGAATCGAATTTTGTGAGTATATATAATCAGAGTATTGTTACTGTCTCACCATGTATATGTGTATATATCGCTGCTGCTGTGCTTTGACAGCTAAATATCTAGTAAAAGTTCTTATTAGATTCTTCTAATTGGAGAATAATTTGATAACAAAAAACAAGAAAACCTATTCACGTCTAGCTAGTACAATGAACGTTGAATGGCAGAACTTTTGGATTTAGTTCGGGTGAGCCTCTTTCATAATATTTTCGTGTGCTTTCATTTTCCGTCTATCTTCCTCATCCTTCCATCCATTGCTTCATGGCTCTCGCTCTCTGATAACCATTCACACTTCCATCACATACACACAAACACACAGCCACCGTATGACAAGCTCGAACACACAGCAACAACAACAAAACGAAGATAAAACGATTTTTCGTGACGAAGTTGAGCAAATCGCTTCCATTGAGCTGTTTAACCAATATCCGTATTGGCGTTACGTTTCTTACTTATGGAATCAAAATTTGATTCTTTTCTAGATTTGTTTCGTTGCACGAACATTATTTCACACAAAATCACGGACACACTCATTATTCTCTCGACATTGAATGTGGGCATTTGGAGTGGAGTACAAAATCAGCCGTCAAAATTTATCGAAACATATGCAGAGATAACCATAGAAATGAAAAAATCACGAATATCCAATTTCATGTTTCCTCTTTTCATTTCCTTCCCTTCTTTTCACTGATAATGGCAAATTCAAGAGCACGACTTTTGCACTAAACTACGCTAATAACTTTTGATTGGAGAATTTTTTTTTTTCTCGTTAGGCAATCAAAAAATATCAATTCGAAAAAGCTCTCGCTCACCTTTTTTATTTGTTTGATGCCATCGGCTGGAGGGATCGATATTAATAAAAAAAAAAACACAGAGAAATACGTTGGATTACATGAATCACACAAACATACACAATCCCTCAGAGGATAAAATAACAAATTGCCGCCGATGAAATCGAACTTATTTTATTTACTTTATTTTTCCTTTCCTCTTTTGCGAGCTATTTGCGACGAGCGTATTCAAGACGACAGCAAGACACCACCGAAATGCGACCGAAAGTAATGTATAACTAAAGCAAACAGTGAGCACACATAATCGAATGAAAAAACACAACAGAAAAATAACACCGAAAAAAAATCAACACACTTCAAGAGAATGTACACGGAGAAAAAACGGAGAGAACTATACGTAGCGAGCAGGAAAAAAATAACAATTTGAATGCAGTACTACGGTATTGGTAACTCACTCTGTCGAAGCGTATGTAGTGCTAATACGTCGATTCGATGTCGTCGAATTTGTTTGTGTACCGATATATAAAATGGAATCCTCACACACTCAGTCCGCTCAGTTCAGCACAGTTTGCACACACTCATTCATTCGGTTTGGTGTGTTCTCCAACAATCAGCATCTGTATGTGGATGCGGGAATTCAAACGAAGATATTCAAAAAAGTGTTGTTTTTTTTTACACACATACACTCTTACTCACACTCATTGACGCCGTTGTCACTGTCACTGTCGCTATTGTTGTTGTTGTTGTTGTTCCATCATTTGATTTGTGCATATTTGTGTGCGAGCCACCCAAGCTGTGTATGTGTCGCTGCTGCGATTTCAATTCAGCTTCTTAGACCTGACTCATTGACGTTGGCTGGATCGTATGCAAACACAGGCTGCAAACAGTCACTTGAACCACCACCACATACAATCAATTACTCTGGCGCATACGCACTAAAATCCACGGCAAAATGCTTCGAACAAAGCGATACACACACACACACACACATATATATATACTGTCATACCGTGGTCGTATTGTACAACACCAACAGTACGTGTGATTGAGATCCGATTTTGAGCGGATGAGCGCGAAAATTCGGAATTTTATCGCAATTCACTTTAAAAAAAAAATGAGCAGACAAACACAGCAAAAGATGATGAAGAAAAACATCGATTGGTTTCGTTATTTCTGATTTTTATTACTTAAGTAAAAAGTAAACAAAAAAAGGTATTTTTTTTTTAGAAAAAAAGGGCAGAGAAACGAACTAATAAATATAACATGAGTAAAAGCTTGGCGATTGAAATAACAGTAATTGAATTATTTCACTGTTCTTGTTGTTGTTGTTGTTTTTCTGTTATGATTTTTATAATCTGATTTCGTTTTTGTCATTCAGTTTTTATTCTTTTTGTATTTAAAATACAAAAAAAGCAGCTCTCTTAGTCTTTCTGCCTGTTCAACTCTTCTGTCGTTCACTAGTAGTATGCTGATATTGTGCCCGCGATTCCTTGTTAACTCGTTTTGTTGTTGAAAATTGCGTTAACTCATCATATCTCACCTTCTTCTCATTTTTAGCTAGTTTTCATTTTGTTCATTGTTCGGATTCAATTGTTTTTATCGTATTAGTTCTGCAAAATATTTTCGACCATTTTTTGTGTTTTTTTTTCAAGAATAAAGAATTTTTGTTTTTATTAAATAGAGAATGCTTCACTGGCTCAAAAAGTGTATCCCATGATGAGATTTTGTTTTTCTATTCGAATCTTTTGTTAATATTATTTTTTTTTTTTATTTGCATCTGAAACATGTGGGTGAAGTCTAAATTTTTGCGTGTAAATGTGTGTGAATTGGATTTTTGTTGCCTTCCGGTTTATTCTTCTTGTGAACTGATTTGTTTGGTCAAGACTTGTAATGTTGGTTTACTTCAATGGCTGGGTTGGTTGTTGGTTTATTTATTTATTTTTTGTTGAATTTTTTTTTCTCGCGGAATTTGTATTGTATTTTCATTCAGAGTTGGTTTTGGCTAAACTATTATTGTTGTTTTCTTTTTTTTTTATATATATATTCGTTTCCACTTTGATTCCTAGTTAATCATCCATGTTTGACGATAACAAAAAATTAGCGGCTAAATTCTCGTTTTTCTCACACGCAAAATATGCTTGCAACACCAAATGCTCTGGAAATCCTAAGCCCTTGAGCTGTGGAAGAATGGATTTAGTTAAAATTCTTTTTCTTCTTTAATTGATTCGATTTAATCCTATTTCAAATCAAATTCGAGCTGATTTCTATTTTGGACTGAATTGATGTTGTGTAAAGAGTGTCGCTTACCCGTTCGATGGCGTCACGATCTTGTGCGGTCAAAACAAGCGTTGCATCGGATGGTCGCTCTCCAGCAGCGGCCCCGGTTGGTGCGGCAAGACCACCGGCACCAACACCACCACCACCACCGCCTCCGCTGTTGGCCACATCCACATTCAATTCATCGGCATTTGGTTCGTTCAACATGTTAAGGAAAGATTCTTGATTCTCCGATATCAGTTGCAGCAAAGCGGGATTCGTTTGACCAATCTGCAGAAATGACAGTCAATTTATGTTAAATAATAGAAAAAATCAATCGAAAAAGAAAACAACGAGTCTACCTGTTGCAAGGCTGCATTCAATAGTTCCGGATTTTGATGGATCAAATTTCGCATTTGATGGAATTGTGGTTGGCTGCGCAGAAAAGCCAATGGATCTGCATTACCTTCGGTGGACGCAGGTATATTGATATTGCCAGCACCATCGTCAACGAGACCGGCAGCGGCAGCTGCACTGCCCACCGGATTGTTGAGCTCCTCCAAATTACCACTGTCCGGTATTCCGCTAAGCAAATATTCAACAGCACGATCGGGATTGTTGAAACTGGCGCGTAACGCTCGCTCCACCATATCTCTGCTATAACCCATTTCAACAATGTTTGAAACCATGCTATTGTATTCATCACCCGAAGTTCTGAAAATAATTAAGTGAGTTTTAAGATTAATCCTCGATTTATACAGAACAAAAACCCGGTTGACAAATTACTAAACATACATAAGTGCCGATTCGGCGGCTGATTGCGCCGATAGCGCTGGTTGTTCCTGTGGTGGTGTTGTCGTAGCAGGCGTACTTTCACTGGATACAGGCTCGTCTGTTTTCGCCGTTTCCTTTTTCGCTCTGAAAAAAATGATTTGGAACCATTAATTTCGAACGTTTGTTTTTTTGGTTTTAGGCAAAACTTTTTTCTAAATTCACAATTGATCAATACTAACTCGACATTCGTGGCTGCTTTAACATTTGTTGAACTGGCTTCTTCGGTTTTTGTAGACGATGCGGTTGACGAGGTCGTTGTAGACGCTGCCTCTTCCGGCTTCGTGTCTTTTTTTGCACTTTTATTTACCATAACAACAATAAACTTTTTTTCGTCGAAATTGTACGACGCAATGGTTTTATCGTCAGCTAATATCATACCTGAAAATCCGAGCAAAAAACCATCGAACATTTTGTTTTACTAATTGTTAAATTGAATCAAGTTGAACTATCGGAGTTTAAATTCATTTGTCATCATATCAGTGTATCGGTGCGAATGCAACACGTCTCATCGAAAGGTTTTGAGGTTATGTCACGATGACCACATATAACATTCACAATATTTTACAAACACAATTGCATTAGATTTACCTGCATAGATAAGTTTTTGGCTCTCTGTTGGATAGTCCTTGCCACGTTCGGCTTCGATCTTTTCTTTCAGCTTCAACACCTGCCAAATACCAAATCAAATCACTCATTAATTTTTCCCATTTTTTTTTTTTGGACACAAAACATTGAAATGCCGAAAACCATGAAATCCAAATATTGCTCAAGTGTCAAACTTGGATATGTGTTTTTTCGTTGCAGAAATTAATCAATTAGCCCTTGAAACAGTGTTTTCTATTCTCATTTTTTTTCTTCTTGGATTCCATCGATTTGAGGGTTAAGAACGATCAAAATGAATAACTTACCGTTTCCGATGGATCGAATTCCACGTGAAAGGTTTGCTGTTGTAAATTTTTTATTGTGATAAGCATATTGAAGAAAAAATTTAGTCTTTATCTCGTTAAAGTTTCTCCACCGCAGAAAAAAAAAACAAACAAACAAAACAAAAATTCTCTCGTTTCACTTCACTGTGTGCGCTTCAAAATGTTTCTGTCAATCGTTGGCCAATGGGGGGGGGGGGAAAGAAAAATCATCGGTATATATTTCGATAGAATATGATGAGGATGATGATATTCTGCTGTATCACTTACCTTTTGAACAGCGCGATTCAAGTGTATGAGTGTGAGTGTGTGTGTGTATATATTATATTTTAATTCTGTTGCCACTTAGGTTTCTCGTTTTATGAACTCTTGGTAGCAGTCATTCGCACGAGTCAATGATCCTGTAAACAGAGAAATTCAGTGAATCAGTCCAATGAAATCGAATGCTCAAAAATAAAATGCTGATGCAGATTCCGATTATTGTTGTTGTTATTTTCTTTGTCACTGCACAACACACATTCCACAAGCAAAAAATGACGTGAAAATTAATGCTTTGATTTTTCGATATTTGACAGCGGATTGCTCGTGCCCTAAATGCACAACAGCAAAATTTGCTTAAAACGAAGAGAGAAAAAATATTGTGCGGCAATCAGTTCTTTGGGTCACATTGAACGAACCAAAAACACTCTCGATCGAATGCAACTCAACGTGTAATTGAAATCACCAAATCAAAACACTCTGGATTAAATCACGTTAAAGAAAGTAGAGAGAAAAAAAAAACCATTCGGTTGGTGCAATGTTTTTGTGTTGTCGAAAAAAAATTGCGACAATGCCGAAATTTTATGCGGCATTTACATGCCGTTCACCGTATTCTTTCTTTTCTCGCCACGACCTCGCCAACAAACGACAATATTTATGAATAATTCTCTATGCAAACTGTACTCACTTCTTGTTTGAAAATCGTTCTTTGTCAAATTGCGATGAATTGGCGAAATTTCGAATAAGGATTTCCAAAACGAATTTATATATACATGTATATGAGTGACGACAGGCTCACGCAACAGAACGACAATTTATATGTGTATTCGATTTTGTACGTGTGTTCACATCAACTTCACTTCGATTCCGTTCCGGACACAATCGAAATAACAATGTGCAATGTGCATGCGTTTGTATATTTTGCCACTTTTTATTATTGTACGAGAAACAGAATAAAAATTAGCCTAAGCCGTACCAATTTTATGGCTGTAATTTAATTAGCTGACCAGTTTGGTTCGTTCAAATTCGAATGGATCGTTTGATTCCAATCAAATTTCGTGGTTACAATGAGGTTTCTGTTTATGTTTTTGCATCGGTATACGTTGTTGATGATTTTGTGATTGAACACTAACATGGCCGTTCAAAACGCACTGCCGTCGGTTTATGCCATTTCACGCGTATTACCCGATGCTTGTTGCCGCTGTGCAAATTTCCATTCACACTCACACTCACAATGTTGCGGTATCGACTGTGAATGACATATTTCTACTGTATTGGATTAGGAACTAATTTGAATTCAATGGTGATCGCGGAGAATTTTTAGAATAATCTGATTGAAATTCACGGAATTAGTTGATGAAAATTCATGAAGCAATGTTCAAATGACAGTTTTAGGCTCAGTCACAGTTGCATTTAGTATTGGAAAATTTGGCGAATTTCAGCTGCACTCTGAAAAGTCAGTGGACAATTTCGAATTTTTCACCAGATGGCATCTAACATCTGTGACATAGAATTGAATCTTCTATTTTAGCGGTCGTTCACTGTATGTGACATTTTTATAGATGTCGCTGTAGTGCCGCCATATAAATGACAGAGGGAAAAAATTGTTTGCTTCACATCTGAATTGACACTAAAACTTACTTGAAATAAATTCTTTGTGAAATTTTGTTTTTTTCTTGAACTAAAATGGCAAATAGTACGAGCTCCACCACAAGTGGTGTCTACAGTAAAAGATCAGCGACCGAAACTGATACAGAATCGGAAACTGGTGAACCTACTTTGAAAAGAAAATCATCAATTTCTCCAAAACAAACCCAAATGATGTGACCATTGAATCCAATGCAAACGTTTCAACGCAAATATATCTCCCACAAGTACTGATGGCGTTTCTATTCCATCTATTTCGGAACCTCGTTCATTGAATGCTACTGAACAAGATGTGACGGACGAGTTCAAATTGGGGCAATTCGATCAGCCAGGAGAAAAGAAAGAAACAAAATAGAAACAAAGAAAAAACTTCCAAGAAAATCATTTTACATTCGTTATAAAATTTAATGCAATTTCGGTAGATACAATAATACAATAAATGAGAATAATTTCTTTTTTTTCTTTGCGAAAACATTGGCAGTTACATGAGATATTTTACAATTTTCTAGAGAGTTTGAAATAAAGAAAGATATAGAACCTATACGATATTAATACAAGCCTTGCCAATTTTGTGTGTTTGAATCGGATATACGCGGAAGTCAATTGAAGACAAATGAAAATAAATTGGGCACTTAATTGATGCTAGCCATGGAAATGTCAGTGTTTTTATCAGCAAAATTATTACACTTCATTAGATCATGAAAGGGGAAGTTCTGTTCGAGTTTCAATTGATTCTGAGCTGAGGTATAATCACGATTCATATCGTTGAACCAATTGTCGGTGCGGTCAAGCGGTAGAGCTGAATGTTGGTGCTCTTCAATTGTATTTCGTCGTCATAGGAAAAATTCACCGTGTCATTTGATTCAGACGATCGCTCATCAGTCATGTGAAAGGATTTTCGTTTGCTCGAGTGGCTACAGTTCACGGCACTGTCGGTGAAGGTGTCAAACAACAAAAGAAAAAACGAAAAATCACAAATTCGTTGAACAAACTAAATTCCAATGTTTTCGTTTCCGAAAAACAACCGATTCACTTCCTCCATTTAGTTTTCATTTGATTATGTGAATTTTATGGTGATAGAATAAATGATATCAATTTCGTGGAAGAAAATTGAATAATGAAGATAGGAGATTCGCTGCTCTAGAAAGAGAAAGAATGCCATTGCAAAGAGGACGATAGCTCTAGAACAAACTCGTCAATACGGCGAACTGTTAACGAACTGCTAAACGTTTACGTACAGAAGCCAAAAAGCACCTATCTAATCTAAAAAGATGTTGTTTATCTATTTGAAAATTTAATTCATGTATGCAATGTCCTTTTTTAAGCATTTCCGAGCATTTTACAATGCCCGGTTTCATTATTTTTTCAGTGAAAGTTGAAAAAATCCAATGAAATTTGTTGAAGCTAACAATTGCTGTTTATATTTTTTAGTTCACATTCGAATGGTAATTGAACTAACTTCACACTTGGAACACATTGCAATCGGTTTGTGTCATTCCATGAATGTGACCCGATGCGAATCAACGAAATGACTTTTTCGGTCTTTTTATAAGCTACAATTGAAATAGTGTTGAAATGTTGTGATTTTGATAAGTTTGAATTGTTTTCATTGCAATTTGAATATTTCATATTTTTCGGTGCTCATTGGTGTCATATAACAACGCATTCACCACGAAACCCACCGGTTAGTTGTGTTCGCCAAACAAAAAATCGTATAAGCGGCAGCAGTAGCAACACTTGACTTTAAAGCCAATTCACACTACTACATGCATACCAGACCTGCGAGATCCCATTACCAAAACACACACGCACACATACTCGCAAACCCAAAGCTGAAAATCCGATGTACATTTTTTTTTGTATCTAATTGGACATTTCAATTCAGTGGCAAATATTGCCATTTCATTTCCTTTTTCGACTGAAAAAAAAAAACAACAGACCAATTACTATGTGCTTGTATGAAGTGAGCGATAGTTTGTGTGTAAGTGTGTGAATTTGATTATTGTCGTCGTCTAGTGTAAAATAAAACCGTATTCTGGTATATTCCTGTTTGTGTGTCTTGTTCATTGGTTGACTTGACTGATGCGCCATCGTTCGTGGTGTTAGCCGATTTGTGTTCGCCTGTATGTAATTGCCAATACATTGACAATTACATGGGCGATAATAACAGGCAACAGCATTCACACATTCAAAAGACCGAACAAAAATTGACGCAAAGTTCATGTTAAAATACGACCAACAGAGAAAAAAAAAGAAGAAAAGAATTATCGAATCAAGTAATACGACGAAGTGAATATCAAAAAAGACAACAACACACAGAACAAACCATTGCAATTCAATGGGCTAACCTTTTTCTGTAACATTTTAGTTTTTTTTGTATGTGCGTAAAACATTAAAATAATAAATCTGTTTATTCTAATTGTGATTGTGTACAAACTGCATAAAATCGGGCCACATTTTCTGTTCATTTCGTCCATCCACAACCACCCTGATATTCAGTCGATCGACAACAACAACACAAAAAGTAAAGCTAAAAGAAAGGACATTTTTTTTAAAAAGTAGAACGAAGTTCGAAACGAAAAAAAAAACAATGACGACAAAACCATAAAAAGGTTGTGTGGATTTTGTGTGGAAACAAACCGAGAGATCATTTTGTATTGTTGTTGTTTTTGTGTGTGTGTTTTTTCGGTACATGGTTATACAATTCGGCATAGTTTAGCCCATTTAATATCGTAAAAATTCGGTGTTTTGCCTTCCAAAACGAGTAATTTGATCGAACAAAATCGAAATAAAAGACTGAAAGTTGAGTTGCATTTAAAATGTCAGCAAACTAATTGGAGTTCTGTGTGGAGAGAGGGAGAAATAGAGAAAAAAAGGCATAATTTAGTACCATCTTGTACAATTCCGGTGCAGGAAATTTCATTTAGATGAATGAAATAGCAGCACAGAAAAATTTGATTGTCCCCATTACTCCCTCTCTCTCTCTCTCTCTCTCTCTCTCTCTCTCTCTATCTCTCTCTCATGGCCGAACGAAACATTCCGTGATGAAATCGTTGTATACAAATGTGTATGTGTATTGAAAACGACGACATATGCAAATTTCTGCATACTTTTTTTTCTCTCCCTATGCTAAAGTATTTCATCGGAAAAAGTGATTTATCTCGGTGTGTCGTGCTATGTCTCGCTCTAGCGCGAGTGATTTGTTTGACGCACAGAACAACATACAATATTCACTTTTCGCATCGTAACAGTGAGCGATACTTCGACAGATATTTCCTAATTTTTTAAAATGTGCCAATCGGTGAAGAACAAGAAAATGAAAAAAAAAACACATAGTCTAAATGGATTCTATCACGAATCGACACATACTCGTCACCAATTTGGGTCACATGTTGGACATGAAAACGGCTGATAATTTAACATTTTTTTTTTCAACAACATTTCAATGCACAATTTTCTAAGAGTCCCTTTGTTTCCCTTTCAATTACAACAACAGTACCAAAAAACGAGAATTAAACGAATATGAGAGGAAAAAAAACGACTCATATTTGCACGTGCCATTTATCAAATTGCTTTTCGTTTAATCATGCAAGCATTATTTGATGATTTGGTCATCGAAAACGAATCGCGATTGGTTGTAATTGTGAAAACAGAGTGAGCATTTTATGTGTGTTCACGCGGCGTTCACCGCTGCATCCATATTTGGTTATGTGCATCTCTTATTTTAGTACATTCTCGGAAATTGCACCGTTCCGTGAAACAGATAAAGCACAACCATGTTTTTTTTTTAGTGTGTATGTTTGTTTCGTGTGCCGCTCAGTGCCATTGGCAAAACGGAAATGTTTAAGTAGTCGACAAACACGACACACACAGAACAACAACAACAGCAAGAAAAAAAACAGCATCATCATAATAACTTTTTGAGTTTCATTGAGTTTTATCTATACGAGATACATGATTGCATTGAATGAAGTAATCATATTCTCCTATGAAACATACAGCCAATGTGTCCATTGTAAAATATCTGATTAGAATTAGCTAGATTCGGCTACTATGATTTTCTGGCGTAAAACTGAAAATGTTCGGTATATTGCGCTTATTCATAAATGACAAATGAAATGTTGTGGCAGCCCATACGCAGATTGAATGCATATTTTGCGTCATTGTCATCATTTTCCGCCAGCATGGTGTCAGCAGAAGCAGAAACAGTAGTGCCGGCGAATTGTCGTTCTCATTTTTTTCTCCATTAATCGATTTTTATTGACTGCTTGCGTACACTTCGAGCGTTACTCTATTTGGAAACAAAATAAACCGACAATAACACAGCAATTGACTTCAATATTTACTGAAAATTACATATTTCCCACCGTTGATAGCCATATGAACATCGATAAAATGAATATACATAGTAACCAAATAACTAAACGCCTTCTCTTTTGATTTGTATCCATTTTTTTCAGAATTGGAGCATGTGCATGTGTGCCTTTCTTCTATGAGTTTGAAAACAAAAAACAACGTCAACCAAACCGAAATTCACATCGTCAAATCAGCCAACCGAGCATGAGATAAGAAGAATACAGTTGAATTCGAAACACACCGAAAAAAAAAATCGTGAATAGCTTGCGTCAATCTTCCGAGTATAGACAGAAGGAAAAAGAGCATTAGAAAACAAGGCAGAGAGAAAGTGCAAAAATAACTGAATTAACAAGAGAAAGACAAGAAGTGACTTTTCGACAGTAATTCGTGCATATTGAAGTCAAACAGCATTAGACAAAACTGTAATTCGATTATGTATGAGTTGGATGAGTGGTCTAACATTTGACAGTTCACCCCGAGAGAAACGTGTTGAAATTTGTTCTGTGTTGTCTGTGTTTGTGTGTATGTTGTGCAAATCGCGGGTAAAAAAAGACAACGATCCGACCATTGTCATGTATTCGATAGCGATGCAATTGACATTGTAACGACAGAGAGATTTCAACAAAACAACAACAGGAGAATAAAGAAAAAAAAAACTATCTTCGGCTTCGGAGCAACAGCAAAATCGTTGAGTGAGAACGAGCAAGAGACGAAGTAAAAGGGTGAAACTACAACGCGCACAATATAAATAAAACAATCACTTAGAACGAATCGAAGCGTTTGATTTGACCAAGCATACAACGCAAGAGAATCAGCGAACAAACGGTCGAAAAACAACGACACATACTCTCCAATTAAAATCAATTTTCGTCGAGGAATACAACAATTTTTTTTTTAAATAAAACTAGCATCGTCCATTCAAAAAGTTACGCGTCGTAAAAATCAATGCAAATAAATGAGTGAATCGGTTCATTTGTTATAAGCAACCCACAATTTTTGCAAGTGATCGAATCCACAACACAAACATATACCGAACGTTTACACCGTTTTTTTATACGTCATTTTAACCTAATTAGTAAGACATCCGGACCAGTGACCAGCAATTATGGTGAGTGTAATGCCCAATTTTTTTTTTTTTTCGGTATGTCGTCATCATCATCAATGTTTATCCATCAGCCGTCGTTGTTTTGCTGAAACACACATAAAATCCATTACTTACAAAGTGCTGAGTGAATTAAGCCGAACGGCCAAGCTTTTGATTGGCCGTACACCAATTGAGCCGTGGAATTAGCAATCAATGCAACTAAAGCACATAATTTAATTGTTCCGCTCTCAAATCGAATTGCATTGCCAACAAAACTAAAGTTGTTGAATTACCCACTTTCATGACATTGTCATCGTCATCGTCGTCATATAGTGGTTTCGAGGGAAATACAATCGGTTTGTTCTTTCTCGTCATTCATCCATTCATCGATTCGTGAACTCTTTGCCACAACCATCCACTTGCTCGATACATTTAAACGTGATGCATCGATTTAAAATCTCTTGACTTGGCCCCTCTCGCTCCGTGTGTATGTGTCTCGTTGTCAATTCCTATTTCAAATGATTGTCCGCATCGATAATCGATTGGGTGCTTTTATCGATGCACTTTAATTCGTTGTTACAGCATTTTTGACTACTACCTATAAGAAATAACGCGCTCGCGGTGAATACACCACTTGATTGTTTTGTATAGAGGTGTACAATAACAGATAGATACCACTTGAATTTGCGATTTTTTTTCTCGTTGTTAGAAAAAAAGAGGGAGAAAAAAGAACCAAAATTCAATTGGACTAGACTTTGGCTGAAAAGCCACTCAACCTTAATAACAATCTCGAAATGGAATAAATTATCAAGCAATATCATTTATGGCGGTGCGCAGCCGGAATTAAGCGGTTAAAATATAGCGAGACATGTCTCGTGCATGCGAAATTCCATTTAAATACACCAAAAGCGAATGTGTTTTTGATTTGGTGCAGAGAATTATTTGGTACTGCAATAATCGATCCAGCCGGCACATATTGCAAATTGAATAGCTCAAGAACATTTGGAGTATGTTTCATATAGAGTGAGTCAGACAGGTCGACCAAATAAATATTGGGACATGAACGGCTTGTCAGAATCATCGTCACCCAATCTCATCATGTTCATTTTGAAAATAAATGCCGAGAACATTTTTTTTTTTTTTGTCGTTCGTTGTTGTTATTTGAACTTTTGTTTTATTTTCGAATTTGATAGCAGCGAGCATACGATCGAACAAGAACGAAGAGACTAACAAGAGAAAATGGACAACACAGCACACTCGATAAATTTAATTTTCAACGTCAATTTCGAACATCTCGTTTAGATACGACAAAGCGAATGGGGCGTAATTTGCTCACACTCGATTGTGTGTGCGTATGTTTTAAGTTCATTGATTGCTTTATTTGTGGCATGAGCATTTCAATCCATCGATGTTAAAATATGTGTCAGCCCCCTCAGATCAGAACAAAAACCGAACGACGAGTGAGTGAAAGAGAGAGAGAGAGAGAGAGAGAGAGAGAGAGAGAGAGAGAGAGAGAAAAACAGAAAAAAGCGCAAATGAGCTCAGCTGATATTTTACGCTTCAGAAGCACTGTTTGTGCACTCATTTTCATCGTTTCACACAATCAATTTTAATTAAATGTTGAGATTTAAATTGATTTCAATCGCAAGTCTCATGCAAGTTTTTAAAAATCTCATTAAACTCGGCTGTAGTAGTTGTTGTTGTGCGGCTTTTTGCGTGAGACACAAAATTTTTCGAATTAAACATTTTAAATGGTTTTCTATCAAAATAGAATTTCCTTGGGTTTGGACAATCGGCCGATATTGACATCGTGTTCGATGACAGCGAATCACGTAAACTAGCCGAAGTGAAAACGGAAGATGGCAAAAAGGAGAAGTATCTACTGTACTATGATGGCGAAACTGTATCGGGCAAAGTAAGTTTTAATTGACTTTTTCTCAGATTACTTTTGAATTGCAACATTCTTAAACTTTGTCTCTCTGCTCATCTCTTCAGGTGAATGTAACGCTGAAGAAGCCTGGCAGCAAACTGGAGCATCAAGGCATCAAAGTGGAACTAATTGGTCAAATTGAGTTGTATTATGATCGCGGAAATCATCATGAGTTCGTGTCAATGGTCAAAGAGTTAGCCAGACCGGGTGACTTGATTCAAAACACCAGCTATCCATTTGAATTTGCTAACGTTGAAAAGCCATACGAAGTGTATGTCGGTTCCAATGTTCGCTTAAGGTTCGTATCAACAAGAAGAATGCATTTTGCCACATTCTTTTTCGCACCGGTTAATTAACATTTTGTTGAGAATGACAGGAACAATAAGAGCCTAATAATGTACATGTGTGAATTTTACAGATATTTCCTTCGTGTGACCATCGTGCGTCGCATCAGTGACGTTGTTCGCGAAATTGATATCGCCGTTCACACGCTCTGTAGTTATCCGGAAATGAATTGCCCCATCAAAATGGAAGTTGGTATTGAAGACTGTTTACACATAGAATTTGAGTACAATAAATCAAAGTACGTATTTGCGGAGACACATTTCGGTTTGAGATGGATACAGCTGAAGGCAAATAATGCATTTGATGCGGAGAAATCAGACGAAAATGACTTATTTGTATATAAACTAATTACTTTGTTGACAAGTCATGCAAATGTTGCATCAAATTCACTTTTCCCATAGTCTCGGGCATTACTTTGTTTCAATCGGATTTTTTTTAGTGTTTTCTCAATAGATCTCAATTTTTTTTTTCTCAAGAAATTTGATTGATTCCATTTAATCCAAGTTTTGCGTTTGAAATGTTCCATTCTTGTCATTTTGATGCATTCTCTGCTTTTATCAGTATTCCATCTTAAACTCTTTTGATATAAAATATTATTCATTGACATAGATCGTTTGACTCACGTTTCGACATCGTTTTTCTCTTCATTTAGGTATCATTTAAAGGATGTTATTGTTGGGAAAATTTATTTTTTACTCGTTCGCATTAAAATAAAACATATGGAAATTGCAATAATAAAACGCGAGACAACTGGCTCAGGTCCGGTGAATGTTTTCACAGAAAATGAAACGATAGCCAAATACGAAATTATGGATGGTGCCCCAGTTAAAGGTAAGAAAAGACGTTCACACGAGATTTTCGGCAGTTTAATCGATTAAATTGAATTGATTCCAAGTTGACGATTTTTTCAATATTTTTGTTTGCATTCAAGCAGTATTGATCGCAGTCTTGTTACAGTTTAACGATTGAGAAATTTCAATTGAATTCCGAAATTTTGTTAGGAAATCATTTTATTTCGAATTTCCGACTTTTTGCTTCAAAGCAAATGAAATAAAATTCATTGAATCTTCAAATAATTCCGCTGAACTATAATAGCATGGCCTCGATGAGCAAGTTGATTGGATTCTAATAAGAGCATTCCCGAATAAAACGAAAGAGAAAACGTTGACTGTCTTTTGCAAACCAAATTCTAATCAATTTCTTCATTTTGATCGAATTTAGGTGAAAGTATACCGATTCGTGTGTTCTTGGCCGGTTACGATTTGACACCGACAATGCGTGACATCAATAAAAAGTTTTCGGTGCGATACTTTTTGAATTTGGTGTTGATGGATACGGAAGATCGGCGATATTTCAAGCAACAGGAAATTACATTGTGGCGTAAAGCCGATAAAAATCGAAAATCGGCCATAACACAATCATCGAATCCGCATGTTCCATCGCATTTGGTTGGTTCAGATGGTGAGATAATGACAAAGCCGTCAGTAACCGCATCGAGCATGTCACCAAACACACAAAACAGCGACGGTGAAAATAGTAATCGTGACGACAACAAGAGCAGTGATGCTGGTGAAAAAACGGTTGGTCTATTTCAAGAGGAGAGCCCTGAACATGGTGAGTGTGCAAGTTTTTTTCCATTCTTTTTTTTATCAATTGTATTGATTGAATTGCTCAATACCACACAGAAACCAAATCAACTTTGCCATTATCATCGGAGGATGTCACTGTGTCTCCGACTTCAGGCGATAACAGCAGCCGAAGGGAAACGTTGGCTGCTGGCCAAGAGGACGAAAATGTTCCGCAACTAGAACGAGAATCGGGCGATGGTGCGTCGGCCAATCCAACGGAAAGTGAAAGCTCAAGTGCATACCAGAGAAGAACGAAAACGCGTACCGGTTCATTATTCGATGACGATGACGAAGAGGAGAACGCAGACCAAACGGCGACGGCGAATTAAACAACCACAACAACAACAAAAGGCTCCAACAATTTTTTTTTTTTTTTTTTAGAAAAATGAATGAAAAAAAAACACACATAGACATTTTAAGATTCAATAATTACATCTCTCTACGATATCCCGAACATTCGCACCGCGAAACAAAAGAAGAAAAATGAACGGAAGAAACACTCCACATGAAATGTGAAACGAAGATCAAACAAGCACATTCACACAAATTTATAATCCAATATGTGCAGTTGGGATGGAGAGAGCAATAATTAAAACACGAAACAAAACAACAACAAAACATTAGTAATTTCTGTTGTGTAGGAATAAATTCAATCGAAGATTGGGTCATGAGCTGAGATAAAAAAAAAAAAAAACAGAGACAGAACGAGAGAGCGAGAGAGAGAGAGAGAATGAGTGAAGATTTTTTTGTTCGTTTGATTTTGAAGGGAATGTATGTTGAAGAGAATCCACTCGAATTACACATATTGAGGTTGAATTGTGCGCGATTGAAAAATTGATTATTATTATTATCGCAGAATATTCTAATTATTTTAAATTGCCGAAAAGGAGCGATGATATAAAAACAACAACAACAACTACATTGTAATTAAACCACACTGATTGTAAATTGTGCGCTTTGAAATGCGCTGTAAAAATAAACAAAAAATTAATACTATCAAATACATTATTGCTAGCGTTCGTCTTTTTTTCTCATTAAATAATCGATTTGAGTGCTTTATTCAATTCAATGGAAGTATCAACAACGCTCTACGATTTTGTGTGTTGACAATCGATTTTAAACTTTCGCATAAGTGTGTTGATACAGTCAGTTTGATGCAACGAAATCAATGCGGATATTTTCCTCCAGCCCGAATGTCCCATACTGAAGTTTTATTAAATGAAAGTTGTTTGCAGTTTATGTATAGATTCGGGTTCTGCGTCCGGAACCAATTTTATCAATTTCAACATTACATGCGTTGCAATTGATTGGCGAATTTACGGTATGTATTCAATGAAGTTTCGGCAAAAACTTTTCTACATCATCACGAACGAAAAGAGCTACTTCACGAAAATAGTCGTTGCATCTGTCTCTCTCTCTCTCTCTCTCTCTCTCTCTCTCTCTCTCTCTCTCTCTGTCGTCTTTTCCGATCAAGTTACCACCACTGAAAATTGACTTTCACGCTTTCGATACTGCTTTCCATCCAATTTTTATTTCAAAACATTTTTTGCTTGTGTTTGAAAGAACCAATAATATAGATGCAATGCAATCAAAATACGGAAAAAAGCACTCAAACAACCCACCACCTCGCAGCTTGTGAATGCACCAGCGCAACACATATACACAGTCATCTAGAGCATCTTTTCCGGATAAAGCGTCGAGATGTCAAAATGACACACAGCACAACTTATACTCGGCATTGAAATGCTAATTCACCGAAAAAAATGCGCCATGAACACAAGCTTGTGAACATTTGCTAACAACTAAATGGCGTAATGTAGAATTTCCGTTGTTATCGAAAGCCGATGCTCGAACGTTCAGCAACAGCAGCAGTAGCAGCAACGATGGAATGTAGCATCAAAGAAGGTGGATTCAAAATAGATGAAGCACATGAACAGCAGTCTCTACAATTGATTAGCCTTTTATTCAAACACTGGTGCCCGTGATAAAATCAATAACTACCCAGCTACATACAGTACAAGCTCAACAGCACGGAATTAAGATTTTCAACGGCTGATAACAAACCATTCACGAATGAAACGACAGATGATTTGTCTCTGTCACACGAACATTTTCCGTATCATGATATAAACGAATACTTCTTGGGTTTCGACACTTCGATGTTTTTTTTTGGTACCGAGCTGCTTTGAGGGCGCAAAAATAACTAATTTGTTTCGACACTTTTCTATGAACCGTTGTGAGATGAGCTCCTTCACATTAGAATATAGTTTCGTTCCGTTTATAACGAATTAGACAGTTCTGATGGCTAGTGGAGCCATCTGTACAATTGACAATTTATTATGCCCTTTGATTTGTCAAGATGTCATTAGTTTCGGCTGAAAAAAGCACCGTGAACATAATCTGGACAAAGTTCGAGTGGGAATTTTAACATTTTAAAATTTTTACGCTAGATATCTACGTACATTGGTTTTTTTTTTTTTCAACCGTCATTTTGCAGAGTTTATGTGATTTTCTATCAATAATTCAAAGAGGAACATTGTAAACGGTACGTATTTGTTTTCAGTAATAAAAAATGGTAAACGCTGAGTGAGTTTCATTCATTTTAGAATTTTCAGTGTTGAAGATTTGTGTGTTAGCCACAAAATTTGGTCGCAAATGTCGTTATTACAAGTAGGAAACCTTTTTCGACTGCTGCAAAAAGGAAATACGTTGCTCATGTATATATATTTCAAGATAAATGACATGGAAATGACAAAAGACGAAGATTCAAATTTTCATCAAGGTTTTCTACAACCAAAGAAAATCGATTCAATTTATTATTCATAAAGCATATTTCAGTGGCCATTTCTGCACAATTTAATGTCAAATGTATTGAAATTGGTTGGGGCTGTTTTCTCCCTCAAAACAATTATCCTTTCGTTTTGGCTCTGATGCTTGGTATTTAATTCGTTTAGATGCAATATTCTGAAACAAGCATTGGCATCGATGGAAAACTAAATAATTTGGCCCATCGCCAGCTGATGAATCGGCCAACATATTCATTTGGCACAATAAAATCATTCAACAAAGCGGCTTGGCATCACCATCATTATTCGTCCGATTAGGCGCTTGGGCAAACACAGTGTTGTACCAATCGATTTTCCACCATTAAACTCCGAATTTGTGTACATTCACCCAATTTTTACTTCAACCATTCGACGTAATATAAACAAAATTCAAATTAATATTCGAGAAAATGGGTTGATGTCAGAGAAGAGGAAAAAAAAATGCGACCGTTTTAAGTGAGAAGAAGAAGAAGAAGAAGCGACTATCGGAGTGAGATCAAACATCGTTGATTCGATCCTGTTAAGCAGAAAATTATTATTATACCGATTAAAGTATCTCTTTCAAACTCAAATCATCATAAGTTTTATTCGAAAATAGAAAAAAAACATCGATCAATTCCCAATAACATCATGCTACTATAATGTTTGATTTGAATACATTTCCCAAAAAAATCGTCTCCCTCTCTCTCTCTCTTCCCATCTTTAAATCGATTTTGATTGGAAATTATCGAGTTTCGACTGTGCGTGCTGTGCTGCTGCGCTGCTGCTTTGAAATTCAATAAAAATCGTGAGCGTGCATTTTTTCCTCTCGTAGAACTTTGGAGCATTTGGACGTGACGAAGGCTGTTACAGATGATGACTTACTGATGCAAATGAAAAAGTCATAAACATTTTTATTACGCTATCTCGACGTAAGTTGTTTATCCCAAACGCAGTGTGTTGTATGGTGTTCGAGATTATTTACTTGCACAACATACAATCGAAACGGGCGCACGCTCCAGTTAGCGTGCACCTTGTGCTTTCGACTGATTGCAAGAAGAAAAACTAGAATCAATCGATGAATTTATGTATTTATGTGTCACTACCAGAGCCCAAGCAACGGATATACGCTATTCTCATCATTCATGTATATATAAATATGCATTGCAACATCCTCATGAGATTGTGTATGCAGTAAAAATTATGAATTGTTATTCTTCAATGGGGTTTTTCGCTTTTCAACGGCCCATCGGACAGAATAAAAAAAGAACAGACAATCCGAATCAGTGAAAACTTCAAAATGATTATTTTATTACGACTATTGCCGTTTAGGCAAGTGTTGGCTTGAAATTTGAATTGACTAGCACATGCCGAACCAGTAACTCTTTCGGCACGGATATGCTACGTGCGCGATCTTGGAACAAAAAAATTGGTCAACAAAAAAGTTACTACTCCTTCTGATACTATCACTGTCGTTACCGTCCGTCACCGCCGCCGCCACTGTCACAACCAAAGCCATCGCCAACAATCGAGCCTTCTGAGTCCTCACCAAAAAATTTCCTCGTTCATTCCAATAGAATAGATATGTGCAAAAACGATGGAAACAGATATAAAATGTTTTGGCTCATTATTAATGCATCAAAGTGAAGAGAACAGAGAATTGCCACAGCCCCAGTACAAACTCTGAATTCAAATCGATTTTTCTTGAGCTTGTTCTCTCGATGTTTGCCACTGCTACTGCTTTTTTTTTTATCTCTCCAGCTTAACAAATTGTGGGGATTCATTCGGCACCTCGGAGGATTCATCTACCTTCACTACATTTATTTAAACACTTTGTGAATTTTAATCAAGTCAGTGACTTTAAATTTTTTGTTTTCTCTGGCGTTTTTTTTTTACTATTGCTTCTTCAGTCAATTCATTCAACGCGTAAAAAATGCCGAACGCAACGAGCGAAAGTAAGCGATACAATTTTTGAATGTTGATTTTGGTATTTGTGTGCGGCGCAAGGGGAGATGCGAGAAGATAATAAAGTACCTGATTTTTTTCACTCTATCAATCAAATGCCAGCAAAATAATGTATTTTGTGCTGTTAAAAGCGTGGAAAATACCCGACACATTCAACACGAATATAAACAAAAAAGTTTTGTTGAAACGATACAACGGGCACTTTTCCCACCCCCACAATTTGCCACAGTCAAGTTTGTGTTGGGTATTTTTTTTTCACTTTTCATTTCAGAAGTTTTTCGTAATAAATAACACACTATTATTGATAAAAATGCGAGTAAAACATTGATACTGAAGTGGTTGTGGCTGACGAAACTTTTATTTTTCGAGTCATTGGCGTTTCGCATTTTTCAATGCAATAAAAAATGATTGTTTATTGACGGACGCCATCGCATGACGATGTTATCATCAGTGAGGATTTGTTTAAGCCCGTGAGGAAAATGGAAAGGTGAAAGGGTGGCGACGTGGTGTATGTGTGTGTAGGAAAGATGTAGAAATCGACGATGAAACGGAAAACTAATACGAAAAAAATTCGATTGGGAAACCATTATCTTGATACACCCATTTGAAAGGTGTTTATAGCGCTGTGCATCTGAAATGATATTGACTTTCAGCCAGTTACTGAACATCAAATAATATCCATAAAAACCCATGAAAACAGTTATTAGTAATGTAATATGGATTTATGGACGGAATAAGAATGCTATGCTTAGAGTTTTTCTCGCAGCCAGAAGAAATCATTGTGTCTCGATTCGATGTGGGTGCAATGCGCTGTGCGCATTCATGCGATTTCACATCGTATAAGTGAAAATTGTTGTCGATGATGAGGAAAATGATGCAATTTTATGGCAGAAAAGAAAAGACGTTAGAATGTAAAACAAACAGCTTTTAATGTTTGTTATTAAACGAGAACGGGGAAAAAATCGAAAGAATAAACTAGTTTTCAAGTTCAATATTCCGTGCCGGACTTGTAGTCTTCGCGTATGATCATTTGGCGCTTTGCTTTGATTCTTCATACGGCGAACGTTTTGCTACTTTCTACAGCTGTGACGCGCAATATATACGCGCTCATTGAGGCAAAAATGTTTCATCAATCAAATCAGGCCCATAGCCGCACTATTGTTTGCGTCCAGAACAAACAACTTAGCAAAACACACCAATCAGCAAGAGACCAATGAAGCAACCTCACACGA